CAACGTTTCTCCGTTTCAAGCGCCTAAACTAGGAAAAGAAATTTAGTATCTCTAACAAAACTGTTTAGTTGAGGCATTTTTTAATAGCAACCAAATATCTTGTTTTATATAACAAAATATTTAGTTGTCTCAACTAAATATATTTTTCTGCTTTGTTCTCTGGACCAAATGATTTTGTTCTTAGACTTTATACATATAAAAATTAAGCATTTTAGTTATTTTATCCATAAAAATTACATAATAACGAAATATTGTTTTACATAAACTAAAATAATGCCCAATGGATACTATTTTGTCTTTCTGTGCGCTAAAATTTAGATTTTACATATTAAGAAAAAATTATAGTATTTTTAACAAAATTCATACAGTTAAAGCTTTTTGGTTGCTATAACAAAAGTATTACGTTATATGAATAAATCGTAATCAAACAAGATATCTATGTTTACAGGAACTAAACAATTTCGTTGGGCCATATTTCGGGCATATTTTAACCAAATTATTTTGTTGTTACAACAAAATTTCACGCAACAATACATTTTTTCTAGTGTACAAACGATCGAGCGCCACGAAAAGCCATCTAGTAGATGATCTGCCGATCCATCATTCCATATATATTGAAAAAGTAATAGTTTATTATTTTGTTCAATCGAATCTTGTCTATAAAATTCCTTGGAAATTAATATTGTAAATAAATTCTTGTCATATTTTGTATTCAATGTAACGTTATGATTATTATTTCTGTCCGGTTTAGTCCGCTTTGGGTTTGTTACCAAAGAAGAAATGTCCGGTGATTTTAACTTTTGCATTTGGCAACCCCAGTCTTCAATCTAGGCCACGACTGACGTTCTCGGTCGGCTGAATAGAAGGATAAATGACGGTCCCTTGTTCTCTCCAGAAGACAGTATCCACACACGAGTCCATGCGAGTAGATGCGAATATACCACTGCCAGGATACGCGCTGCAGCTGCGGCGAGGGGCTGCATTTTCGGCCACGTATTTCGCGTTCGACGCGCTCGCTCGCGCGCGTACATGTATATTGCATACACACATACACACTGCGTACATCACATGGACAGATACACCGGGTGATTTAACAGCACGGCCGTGTGACCGGCCGAATGAGGGGAGAGCCGGGGTGTATTTCTGTGATATTTCCTTGGTGTTTCATATCCGTTCCGAGCGGTTGCTTCCTCCGTGTCTACGGCCGTTCATCCGCCGCTGGCGTATGTAAATGCGCCTTGCAGCGTGTGTCCAATTACGTCCGTGAGGAACGCCACCCTTAACGACTGTAAAGCTCGGGGATGCCAGCTACTCGACGCTTACACGCTTGGAAGATTATGCTGGCCGCGAAATTGTTCTCATGCCAACAAACTAAACGCACGGGCCGCGTGTCGCCGAGCACGGACCATTTCGCGCGTTTCGCTCGGCGGCTGCCGCTGCCGCAACCGCTTGGAAATTCCGCGGCAGGATGCGGGAAGGAAGGAAAAAGAAGAAGAAGAAGGGAAAGAAAGTCGCGGCATAACCAATGAAAATCGCGGCCCTTCTTCCGGCGACTTTTAATCGCGTATAATTAATTTGCCTTTCTAGCCACTGCGATTTTATTACTCCCCCAGTATTTCTCCGAGCAATACTCCGGCCTGGTTAACGTGGCGTAACAAAGTCTCGATAACGCGTTTAAGTATCGCCATATAATAAAATGTGCAGTGCGATAACGCGTGTAACGAAATTTATCGCGCGCTATCGATATCCCGTAAAACAATTCTACCGGCTGTAATTTATTTTTGCACCCTTGCGTACGTAGTCACCGTGCGCTCGTAAATTCCTCGTCCGATCCGAGATGTTTGTACGGTCATTATTCTTTTGAAAATATATGCTACTTTGAAAAATCGAAAGTCGATCTTCGATGGTGTTCTTTGATATCTCTCGCATCTTCCGGCGACGAGAAGTATACGTCATTTCATATCATCGAAATCGAACGGCGGATAGCCTGAATCTAACTTAAATCCCGCGATTTAAAGTATTTCCTCTTTTATTCGTAAAATATAATCCGGTGGTAAATAAATTTACTGTGTATTATACCGGCGAGTGTAAAAAGGCAAAAAAATTAAAATATAATATGACTCGACGTTAAAAGAAAAAAAGAGTCGCACACATTGCACTTTCGTTCATTTTTACGGCGCTGTAGCTTCATTCGGTAAAATCCTATTATAAATGTTGCTTTAATCCGTTCTGCAGATGAATATGTTGAAAAATTATTCGTACGAATAATCGCGGGAAAATATTTATCGAAGGTGAATCTCTTCCCCGTAGTTGAGAACTGCCCGGTACACGCGCGGTACACATAAGCGGAACCGTTATAATTCTATGGAATTACGGGGAGATTAGGCCGTCACCTTAACCGATACTTAGGTAGATCGTATATTCATAACCTGTAGGGGGATATATTACTTAACTGCAGAGCTGGGACTCCGTATTCAGGAGATGATGTTGCACCTGCTTCCGTTGCATGCGATATGGACAATCTGACTGTACGCTTTTACCGCTCAAAGTAATTAATATACCTGTAATATTATCAGATATCGGATCGATTCGAGAGTTTGGTTCGATTTTTCGAATAGATAATCTAGACAATGAAATGATAAAGTATACATTTGGAAGAATGATAAAAATATGATAAAAATGACAAAAAATGATAAAAATATGATAAAAATGACAAAAAATGATAAAAATATGATAAAAATGACAAAAAATGAAAGAAATATAAATTGATAAAATATTATGTGCTCTGTTGTAAAACTGATTACAAGTAAAACTTAAAGATAATACATAAGATTTTACAAGTAAAACTTATATAAAACTTACCTTTTTAAACAAAAAGGTAAAAAAAGGACGCCAAGTACAAGCGCAACACGTATTGTGTTATTTTTAAAAGTATCAAACTCAAATTATTTTTTTTACTGTATATATGTGTACATAAGTTTTTACAAGTAAAACTTATAACTTTATAGTTTTACAAGTAAAACTTATAACTATAATAAAACTCTGCAACACTTTTCTACTGTACAAAAGAAGTGACATATTGGAACAGTAGCGCCAACTGAGAAACCTAACATATATATATATATATATATGATTATTGTATACTTAACTTAATATTTTTAGAAATCTCAAATTCAAATTATTTTCTTTTTTAAGATATATATTATGTACATAACATAAGTTTTTATAATATATGTACATAAACTTTTAAAAGTAAAAGTTATATCGTGTTATAAAAATTTAACGTTTGTTAATAGTGTTCAATATTTAAAAAAAAATATCTTTTTAAAGGTTATGTTATTCAAAATATTCAAGAAAACCTAGCTACAAAAAATGTCCATAATATAAATTTTCACAAGTAAAATTTATCATTCTTTATTAGAACACTGAGTTATATGGTTATTTTACTTGTTATTGTAACAAATTAATTATTATAACAATGCAATAAAAAATATTTAATACAAAAAATCTTGGCGCGGCTGCACCAAAAACTATATCGAACTAAAACTTGTTTAATACATATATGACAGCATTTTTATTAGAATAAAATGTACTTGTAAATTCTCTCTATACATATACGGTGTAATGTTTTATTTAAGTTTATATAGTATAATAAATTATAAACCTTCACTATAGAATATACATATCGAATGTGTATATATTCTACATATATTGATATTTTTTTACTCAAAGATGTTATTCTTATTATAATTGACGAAATGTCAATGATATCTAATTTGACTTTAAAAAACTATATCGAACTAAAACTTCGCTCGAACGATATGCTTCGATTCAACACAAGAAAGTCAAATTTGACTCAAAAGTCGAACTGGAACTTTTTGACTGATTCAATATGTAAATTTTACGCTCCACTAAGCGATACGTACCCGAAAATAATATTAGATACATATGCCCGCGATATTCGCGATATTTGCGTATTAAATGTACTACTGTTGATCTCACAAAGAAAGAAGCTATTCTCCAGATATCGGACGAAAGTCCCGATATACCAATACAATACTAAATATTGGAATACATGACGTGACGTCGCATTTCCTTTCGCGCTAAAGTGTCGAGGGAATTCAGGTTGCATGGAATTTTAAAATATCGAAATTTCCCCGAGCGAGAGCTGCTCCGCGGGTAATCATCGTGCGTGTCGCGCGATTTAAATATTGAGCATTATCGCGCAGATATTCATTTGTTACAGGAATGGTGTAGGAATGGGAAATTGAAAAAGAAAAAAGGGGGAAGCGAGGGATCCTTCTTTTGAACAAATATATTTATTTATAATGCATGAACGCGTGTACGTGCGCGTAGCATGTCGGGGAAAACAACTATTTGCGCTATTTGGTATGAAATTACATTAAGGTTAACGATAGAAATCTTTTTCGCGATTCGGGGCGAATTATTTTGTTTGCGCTAGTTACGAGGATAATGGAATACCGGTCAGAGAGGCTGCGCAAACTACGTAACAATCCGTGTTGGACAATAGACAAAGGTTGATCGTAGTCACAGTACTAATCACCACCATTAATCACTATTAGTAATGCAGGTGATCCAGTGGCGCCATTAATTAGAACGTCTTATTGGTTCACCTTTATCACGCTGTCTCTGCATCGCGGTTTACTTTGTAAATAACCCCCGCGTTCGAGAGACTTCTTCCCTCACGTTATTTCAATCCTATTTCGTCCCCCGCATGGCCATTTGCAAATGTGTACACCTGTACACAATAAAAGCCGTAAAACATCGTGGCGCGGAATTTAACCGACAAATTCGACAGTGTTATCGATACCTTTTGCCGACGTATCAATAAAAATCCCCACGTGTGCGCGCGCACGTGCGCGCAGAATTTATTAACCGGATTAATGCTCCTTTAATGACCGCATTCCAGCTGTGACTTTTTGATCCAAGAGAGAGAGAGAGAGAGAGAGAGAGAGAGAGAGAGAGAGGGGAGGCTAATAACCATCGGTCTAATATCCGGTGGGCGGCACTGAGGAAGTAGAATCGCTTAACGAGGAGCGGAATATTCATTTCGGATTAATCTTTCGCGCGTTAAGCCGTCGGCCGACTTATGGAAAAATTATGGATTGCAGTGAGAATTGCAAACTCTACCGAGGACCGCCGGCAACGTAATTACATCGCGGTACTCGAAGAGAGACGGATTAAGAAGTATCCCCGCTGATTCATAATTATCCCGGGGAGGCATTTGATCTGAGTGAAATGGCCAATTTCTCGAAGAAACTCTCCGTTCGCACTTCGCTTTCGCGCGAGCCCGCATAACGCCGCTCTTTCTCCATTTCTTCCTGGCTGGGCAGCGTGCATCACTTTGGACCTTTAATTTCCTGCGCCCTTCACCCAGAACTAAACTCCACGTTTCGAAGAAAGATTGATGAGATTAACGACGTGCAGGTTGCAAAAGTCGAGATTCCGTCACGTGCACACACCCACACGCGTCGATGGCTGGCCGGTAGAGAGAAGCCGGGGATGAATACGCAAAATTTCTGCGAAAAGTTACCGGTCGCTGCATCCTTCGACATATATGTTGCCTCCTCGCCGAAGCTCGCCAAAGCTGCCTTATCTGTGACCTGAAACCTTGCGGCGAAACAAAGTGCAACGGTATCAGCTGTATGTGCTTTCAACGAGTTTCGTTCTGCGATATCGGCGTAGCGCGACCGGGATACGGAGGGGCCGGCGTATGTAAAGTTTATAAATGGTATCGGGTGAAACGCCATACTGGAGCTGATTAAAACACTTTGCCGTGTACTCCTGAACATGTCGAGTTGAACAGAAACAAGCGATACATACGTGACTTTCGTTACGCCGTAATTTGCCTGGATGTAACACGTTTCAAGTGTCCACGTTTTTAGACACCTGTTACGAAAAAATACGCGAGTCATATAATTTTCTCTTTTCTACGTCACAACGTGTACGTAGAAAAAAATCGATCCGTGGCTGTACGCTCGGTGAATGCAATGCGAGCTAATCACATTCCCCGGGGGGGGAGGAGGGGATTGCGTTACACCTAGCGCGCGCGAGGACAGCCGTATCCCTTCGCGACTTTCGACGCCGACGTCGTTCGCCGAACGTTGTTTTATCGCATGTCGCCGAGGAAAATAACGCCAGTCACGATCGCGCCTCGCAATATCTCGCCGAGAGAACTAGATTTTTCCTTCCTCATATTTCGCATTAACGGGCTAACGCACGGGTGTACTACACGGAGGGTAACTCATACGCGCCGGGAATTCCCGGCGTCGGATACGAGGGAATAACGGCAAGTCGGCGCGGGAGGGAAAGCTGTCATTCTCCGGTGTGTCTACCGGAATCCCGAGTCCCGTTCGGCTAATCTTAAGACACGCCGCGGTATTGCGAAATCCGACGGAATTTACATACGTTCAAATCCATGCCGGAAGATTCAGCCTGATACTCTCGGCGCCGCTCGAAATTCGTCTCGCGTATTATCCTTCGAGATGCGCGAACCTGTCACGCGTACGTCGCGATTCCTTTCCGCCCTCTCCCCCCCGTTCGCCAACGAATATTACGCTCGTGTAATTCGACTTGCTATGTGTAATCGTCACAAAGGAATCCGTCTTCCCATGGGACCCCATCGCGCGCGCGCATTCCTCCGCGTCTCTCCTCGCCTTTTTAGCCGAGCTTTTGTCTTTCGGTCGCGACGCGGAAGTATCGCGCTCCTTATGTCTCCCTTATGTCAGCGGGAGAACCGCGTCTTCGTAGCGGCTCAGGCACGAATATTCCTCAAAGATGTCATAACCCTGAATCGCGCGCCTTCAAGACCGGAAACCACATCTCATATAATAAATAGCGCGCATTTCTTCGCCCAGGTAAGTGGGTCGGAAGTATTGTGAGAATGTAACGTCATACTTTTTATACCTTTTTTGAAGGAATGCAATATTGTGCGATGTGCAAATCGCGCGGTCAAACTCATCATTCGATCGTAGACGAAAATTGAAAGTTTGAAAGGACTTTTCGCTCTCTCTCTCTCTCTCTCTCTCTCTCTCTCTCTCTCTCTCTCTCTCTCTCTCTCTCTCTCTCTCTCTCTCTCTCTTTCTCCCGCTTTCTTGCTCTCTTTTATGCGCGCGGCTAGAAATTCCATAAATATTTCGCCATCGAGCACGGCTAGTTTCGCGTAAAACTTGCGTCACGTACATCACGACCACTCGTTCGCTCGGCGCGCAAGTTGAAGGCCGAAAGCTCACCCTCGAGAGTCATATCCTTAAGACTATAATTCCGCGATGAATTACCTTATTAAGGGAACTAATAAATCCTAATAATCCCAAAGAATAGCTACACGAGCGGGCATTGTCCGCGAGCACAATGCCCGTACTTACTCCGCGCTCGCGAACGCAGTTTGTTTCAAACAAAGATGGCGGAATCGACGAGGGTCCTTCAATTGCGCACATTTACGGGAAATTCATTACGGCTGAATTCGAGATCGCTCGCGTATGGCGGGGAGGGGGGGATGTGTGCGCTGCGGTGTTCGCTCGACGTGTTCGTATCGACGTGCGCAACATTCCGTTCTGCTCTGGCGAGTTACTCGCTCGATATCATCGATAATCCAAAAATACCATCGGCGCGCATCTCCTCGCGAGAGAGCGCTCGCACTCGCGGTCGTATCTGCGCGAAAGAACCGCCAGGACGAAGGAAACGAGCGAGGCACTCTCTGACAACTTACAAGCGCGCATCTCTCTCTCGCCGCGTGCGTTGGCGATCAATGCGGCGGGCTGAAAATTGCAACGGAAGACTTTCATTAGCGGCTTAACGCCGCGCAACCGACTCGAGCTGCCGGGCGAGAAGAGCTGCTGCGTGGCGCAATAATTGCTGCTCGCGCGATATTACTGTCATCCCGCTTCTGCGCGGCAAATAACGGCCGGGCGTTTGCTTCCCGCGGGTTGCACCGTGTGTCTGCATGTACCTGTTGAAAGAAGAGAAATTACGTTTCCCTCAGCGAGTCCCCGAGTATTTCCACCGCGCGTCTCCACCGAGCGACAGCGGAGGGAGGGAGTCGAATTTTCACTGCGATCAGAGTCCAAGCGGACCTCGTAAATTCTTATCCCGATGATCACATTTTATATGACCGCGCATACGCGCGACGTCCTACGTAATTTTTATTTTCCGCAGTATCTAATCGCAGCGACATACCGCACATGCAAACTTGTTTATCTAGCCGTAACTACGAGAGCGGAACAAGCGTTTTCTCCTCGTGAGACACTCCGCAGTAGTGCGCGAGTCTCGTTCAACGTAGGGCGCAATCAATTTCTTTCCGAGAATGCCGAGCGAGAAGAGGTCGGAGAGATCACGTCGGGGAATTTTGGACGTCGCGGATGAAAACGGGGAAGCGCGATGAGAGAGCGCCGGCGCTGGAGAGATTAAAAACGGCCATTTTACGCCTCTCTTTTTAGTAATGTAATAAGCGAGATTTTTCGCCGGGAAACTCTGTTTGCGCTAAAATCGTTGCGGCGAAAAACTTGGAGGGAATTTCCGCGCATTCCGCTTTACCTTTTGCGCGCCGCCGGCAGGGCGAGCAGGGACCGCGGTAGTTAAATTTACTTCGTCGGATCCTCGGATGTCAGACGATGCGAGAAATGGCGCGCTGCATTTTTAATGCAACACGCGACGATCGTTTATTCGCGAAGCGTGTCGCGACTAAGACTCGCCGAGGGTGCGTCTAGTCGCGGCAAAACGGTTGCGATCTTGAATACGCGTGTGTCCACCGCATTGCGAGAGCTGATCCTCTCGTTGTTCATTTGCGTCCAGCGTCGACTTTGCGCACAATCGGCGCAACTCGCGCGGAACTTTCGTTCCGCGGGAGCGACCGGCGCGCGTCCTGCGGCTCGCTTTTCGCGAGCAGGCGCTTGCGATTAATCGGGGAACGATTTGAAAAGATTCTCGTACGCGATTAATACAGCGCAGTGTACCGTTCGTGGCGTGCTGAATATCGAGTTATTTCCTTTTTCCTTCTCTCTGTTTTTTTTTTTTTCTTTCTCGGAAAACGAAGCGTCCAGCTTAGGATTAAAATGGTAATGGTTCTGGCCACCCCCATACATGTTCCCGCGCTCTGAACGTTGGAATAAAACAAAAATCGGACAGATAAAATGTAGCCGTGATACGGAAGAATCAATTCCCTTTTTGCCAAGCAGATAACGTTCGCACCCGAGCGCATCGCATATTGAATATTAAAGCTGGCGCCAATCTGCATGGGGCATGTACAAATTTCAAATATACCCGCGCGACCTTTGCCCCGCGTACACGAAGAAAAAAAAATGTCAGCGGTCGAACAAGGACCGGACAAAAAAATCATCAGTCGGAAACGATGTTTTTTTTACCGCGATCGCGACAGACATCGTTCGGTTTTGTTTCAAACTCGCTCAAGACAACCGAGAGAGAACAACTGATCGTACGGAGAACGGAGATCTTCTACGAGGATCTTGTTGTGTTGCGCAGAGCAGTTTTCATCCCCAGATAATGGAGAAATCAGTTACACGAAACGAACAATCTTCTCCATGTGTCGTTTGAGGGAGAAGGGGAGAGCTTGGTCAATATATATATATATATATATATCGAAAATAAAAAAAGGGAGAGCTTCAGTGGAAAATGCAAGATAGGAACATCCGTAATTTGCTTGCCGCGCGTTTTGCCTCGGCATGTCGAGCACCCCATCGGCCGCTCTTCGCGAAGTGTTTCATTATTTTTCGTAATTTCCGAGTCAAATCCTGCCGCCACAACCTGTCGTATCTGATTGTGCCTGCTTCGATAAGGATCGCGCGCAATTCCGCCGGTCCATTCGTCTTATCCGACTATCTTTCTGTACCGCCGGTATTACACATTATAAACCATTTTCTCGCTCGCTCGCCGCTGGCAGATTATTTATGATCGATCGTAACCTTCCTGGTGAGGTGAACAAAAAGAGAGAGAGAGAGTGTGTGTGTGTGTGTGTGTGTGTGTGTGTGTGTGTGTGTGTGTGTGTGTGTGTGTGTGTGTGTGTGTACCTTTACCAAAAGTTCATCGATCGCACCGGCGGGGTTTAAACTCTTTTCTCGGTGACAAATATGTCTCGATTCTGACGCGGATATTTGCTCACTCCCGCGGAATCCTGCTCATCATCGGCGCGACTTGTGCCTCGATTTTCGTAAAACCGCTGATTTCTTAATATCTTTAAATGCTTCTTGTCGTCCGGGGCGGAGGGAAGTCGATCGAAGCGCGGGGGGCGGGGATTCCAGCGGTCACATGGGCATTGGAATATTACGGGAGTGCCTATATCGCGCACGATATTAATTAAAAATCCGCTTTATTCTCGACGGACGATTTAAACCGTGTCGTTATGCGAGCGACAACATTTCTGCGTGAAATATAGACGAGGCGCCCGTATAGACATGCGCTCCAATATCCAGCGCCGACAAAAATATGATATTTCCATTACATATTTTGACGACTGCGAGAAACGGCGAGAAAAAAGCACCACGCGCGCTCAGCGCTTTATGCGTGTACGTACATACGCGCTTAGCAGCGGTTAAACACACGTGTTAATTTGTACGTAAATAAAGAGAGAAAGAGAGAGAGAGAGAGAGAGAGGAGAAAGGAAATGCCAGAGTCTAGCGAGATAGCCGTCTCAGCGAGTAAGTAAGTAAGTAGAATGTATCCAGGAACTGGCTGGACATTAAAGGAAAGGACACTGAAATCGACTTTATGCCGGCGCGAGAGACCGTGTTTCGCATCTTGCGTGTTGTTTCTTATCATTTAATAAGAATTCTCGAGGGGTGCTCCACGCGACTTTGCGGGAATATCGTGCAAATCAAAAGCAGAGAGAGAGAGAGAGAGAGAGAGAGAGAGAGAGAGAGAGGAAGAGAGACTGGAAGATTTACAATTTTAATAAACGTGGATAATTATGGGCGATACGTTCCTATTTCGACGACACCGTTCGGCGCTGATAGATGCTAGAATTAAGTACGTGCGCGGAATTCCCATTCTCTCTAAACTGCCTTTTACATCAGATTACCGTTAGTCAGCCCCGCCGTGAGGAGAGAAGTGGAAACAGCGCGGTAATTTACTTAATTTGTCGAGCCGAGGGAAAATCCATTTTTCGACCCGGCCAATAATAGCGGGACTGATGCACAGCCGTCGGCTGGAAGGAAAAGGTCAGCGCGCGAAATGAGAGGATTTAAACGATCGAATTATGGCGAAAAGTATTTCTCTTCCTCTTTCTTGCCTCGGTTACTCATTGGCCAATTACATCACGGTAGTTTCGTTCGCGCGGACGTCGCTGCTATTATCAACCAGCCGAGCAACCGGATAAAAGCGCTATAAATGCAATTTGATTGAGCTGCAAATTGACACTTTCATCACACGTTCGGAACACGTGAAATTATCATTACGATTGTAATGTAGGCGTGATTACGCCTCCCTGTATATTTCGCATAAATAGGAAATTCTTAATTCTTCGAGGTATCTAATTTGTACGTCATGCCTCGTTTGCGCCGACACGCTTCGTTAAACATATCGCGGCGTGTTAATTTTAATTATGACGCGTAGCGCACGGTTACGCCCGTATCATTACGGTTCGAAACGCGACGTGAAGTTGAACGCGAAATAGGACTGATCGAATTGAGACGAATATCTGTCGAAATAAATTAAAATCTTCGGAAATTATTGGCAATACATATTTTTACCGGTAAATGGTTATTCATTGCATTTATCGGCCGATATTTGGCACTTTTCACCTTTTATCCACCGGCCATCATTTATTCGTGATTATATATAATATATAATATATGTAATTTGCATCGCGAGAGCGTTGTACGTGTCGCGTGCAGTTAATATCAAATCACTCCGCCGGATTATTGTGCAAAATGCGTATAACATATTAATAAATTATTAATGAATAATCGATATCGCGCGTTACGCGGATCTTCATGCGTGATACGTGGAATATTAAAATGTCGTAAAATATGAAACGCGCGATGTAAAAATGGGTAAAAACACCTCATTTCGCCCGTACGGAGTCGCTTTATTATCCCGCTGAGCGATTCGCACTCTGCTGTAGAGGATATCATTTTAGTTGGCGCGATTAAACACGACCCGCCATTTTTGCCACTTTTGCATATTTTTATCGAGTGTCCAACACTGACACGGAAGAATACAAGCTGCGAGTGTGCGAGTGACGAGTGTACCGCGTGTACACGCTGCCGCCAATAAAATGCTTACCTCGCCGGCGACAATGGTAACTTGTCAGCGGAGATTTGTTACACACGTTCGACGTTTCTCGTCGCGCACTTTTGGAATATGACTTCCTCGTATTTTTAGCAACGCTCAGCCTCCCGTTCTCAGCGTTCCGCGACTTGTTCCCATAGTCTGTTTGACTTTTCTCATTCAATTTTAGCAAACTCTCGCCTCTTCCCGATGTGATCCATTTCCATATATCGGTGAAACGTCGACACGCTGGCCAGCTCCATCCGCGCTCCACGTATATAGCGTGGAAAGTTTCGCCAAGTTTCGCCGATTACTTCCATATGTGCGTTATATATCCCTCAGCCCCGTCCGTATTCACATCTCCGCCGCACAGCCGCGCGCTGATCGTGATTTTTAATCCGCACGCTGTCGTTGCCCGTCGATCCGCAGGACTCGACCCGCCCCCGCCGGCCGACTCGGCTGATCGTCCTCGTGGCATGGAGTCCTCCTAGAGAGTCGTCACGATGCCTCAAGCCGATGTGCACACTGGAAGGCAGAAGTCATCGTCTATGGACCGAGGACGATGAACGTCATGGAGAACCAAACGGCTGATTATCATGGGGACGTTTACCAATGGAACCGTACGGTATCGGCGGACGAAGGAGACGCCAAGGCAGAATATTACCTGCCCAACTGGACCGATCTCGTCCTGGCGGGATTATTCACGATACTGATTATCGTTACTATAGTAAGCGAGCTCGCTCGTCGTGCTTTATTCGGAGCCACCGTGCCCATCGTGCACTTTTCCGTCTCGAGCACAAACTTGCGTACGGAGGAAAGATCGTAGCCATGATTGGCGTTGAAATTATACTTTTTATATTATAATTTGAAATTATTATATTAGTATATTAATTGAAATTATATTATTCTTGTCTACGATCTTTCTCGTACAGCTGGATTATACAGATATTGCAACCACCACGAACTGAGCAACCAAACGTCCAAGTAATTAGAATATTGTGTAGAAAAAAAAAAAAAAAAGAGAAAGAAACAAACGTGCATAATATTTTTAAGCAAATATACATAGCACACTTCTGTGCCGTCCAAAATGACTCGAACCTTGTCGCGATTTTTACCGCTTTAAGACTGCGCCTTCTCGCCCGAGAGAGGCCCGAACGCCTAAAGATTGAGCTTCCGCGATCATGATCTCTTTCTCGCATGTTGCAGGTCGGCAATACCCTCGTGATCGCGGCTGTAATTACCACCAGGCGATTACGGTCCGTGACTAATTGTTTTGTGTCTAGCCTAGCGGCGGCGGATTTACTAGTCGGCCTAGCGGTGATGCCACCGGCGGTGTTGCTGCAGGTACGCGCGGCGTTCGCCGGCATATTAATATGCAATAACTGGCACACGCGAGGCACATCTAATACGTTGACGTCGAGCGCCACGCGTATGTAACGCGAGCCGCTGTCGCGGCGGGGTCTTATTTAATCACCGCAATCAGCGCGCATCGTTCACGGCGAAACGGCGTCGCCGTCGCCGTGACGACGCTCGCAGAGGCATTTCATTAACGCCGACATTTAATAATCGTCTCGCAGGGCAAACGCTATCGTAGATAGCTACGTGACTCTTGACCAACGTCATCAACGTATGTAACACGGAGCAGCAATTAGCCGGGGTAACAATTTCGTCACCGTCATTCCCGCACTTTTCGAACTTTCGCGGACAAAGCCGCGCGCGTACGTTCGCTTCTTCGGTTTTCGGATCACAAAAATGCAGCTGGAGCTGGCGAGCGTCTTCAAACAGCCGCGTGGCATCTTGCGTTCGACTAACACAAATTATGTTTAACAAGGCATGTTCAATTGTACGAATAATTAACGGTGCAACCGTTGCACCCGAACGCGATCGGAGAAATTCTAGAATCTCGCAATGAAGATGCAGCCGGAGGAACGGAGGAACAGCGGCTCGTTTCCGTGTCTCGAGCGCGAGGCCATTAGCTCCCTGCAGCCCTTCGTAAAAATGTGTAGCATCTCGAAAATGGAATATCCTTTGGTGAAGCTTACAGGAGGGACTTGGGAGCTGGGCGAGATACTGTGCGATTCTTGGGTCTCCCTCGACATTCTGCTGTGCACCGCCAGTATTCTCTCGTTATGCGCCATATCTATAGACAGGTAAACGGAGCGCACGCACTTTCGAATCACGTCACGTACGTCTAAACGGGATTATCGGCGAGCGTTCCGCACGTTCCGCGCGAATAGATTCTGCCATTTGCCATTAGAAACATTTCACGGCGACGCTCGCGTCCTTCAGTGCCGGACGGCGCCGAAAAGGAAGAGAAAAAGAAGAGAGTGATAGGAGGAACACGCGAAACACGCGAAACATGACGGAACGGACGCGAGTAAAATCTGCGAATAAATTCCCCGGCCCGCGGGAGGTTTGCTCGAGCGATAAAGTAACCCATTTTGTTGACTCGTCACCGCGATCAGACAGGCTGCAGCGAATATATCCAGCCACTGATAGGAGGTTGTCCTCGTCATCTCTCCTACCTGTCTCGGATATTTCGCGTCGCCTCTAGCATTATTCAGCCGGCTGATTGTCTTCGTCCGATGGTAGCGCAATAACATACACGCTCTCGAGACACGACACTCGCTCGAGCTCGAGAGGATGTTACACGTAAGATCACGTCGCACTGATCGCACCCGTCTCCACGTCCCTTCGTGTCTTGATTCAAGGTACCTGGCGGTGACGCAGCCGCTGATATACAGCCGCCGTCGGAGGAGTAAAAGACTGGCCGGGCTGATGATCGTCGCGGTGTGGATCACGGCTGGTGCCATAACGAGCCCGCCCTTGCTGGGCTGCTTTCCGCGGGCGACGAACCGCGATGTGAAGAAGTGCTCCTACAACATGGACTCCTCCTACGTGATATTCTCAGCGATGGGCAGCTTCTTCCTGCCGATGCTGGTGATGCTGTACGTGTACGGCAGGATTTCGTGCGTCATCGCGAGCAGGCACAGGAATCTGGAGACCAACGAGCCGGAGAACGTCCGCACGCGCCGTAAAATCACGGTGAGCAGCGTTTGATTCGGAGAGTGTCTCTCTCTCTCTCTCTCCCCGAAGACGCAATCGAGAGACCCATGTGGGAACGCGAAGCGGCGCGACTCCGTCGCTTTTCCTCCGTTTGTCGCTGCGCGACGGCGTTTATTGGGTATTCACCTAGCTGTGTAATTCAATGACGAGAGATCCGCGTCGACAGTGTCGCATCACGACTGTCACCGGAGTTAAGGAGTTTTCGGCAGCCAAAGCTCCGCCGCGGCGCCATTGATTCCTCGGGAGAGACGCTGACATTTCTTCTTTAAAGTCGGCCACCCTCTCTCCTGCGAGGGCCTACGTTCGCTTCTTTCGCCAAGGTGCAATATTAACGGACACATTGTCGGGGTTCTGCCCCGAGATGAGAATCCGTCAAGTACGCTCCACGTGCAGAAATTTGCGTGCATGCCCGATTTATATTTCAAGCGGTCGAGTGATGAAGGGAGCGGCTCTCCCTGCGCGGAAATTTTGCCGAGATGACCTCCCGTCGGGCGAAACCTTTCCCGGCGGCGGCGTACGTTTTACCAACGGAACACGACGATCGCCCGTTCCTATAATTAACTTTTAAAACGACACTGTCGTTCGCACGGAGGCACTTTGAAAGGAGGAAAGCGGACAAACAACGTGAAGAGGGAAAGAGTCAGCACAACGTCTATAATCAAGCGGGACGAAGACGCTCACGGCGACAAACGTCGCGGCGGTTAAATGCAAATACCATAACCGTTTACACCGAATGCGAAAGCAGCTCGCTTCCAATCGCGAGGGGAACACGGCAAAAATCGAGGATTATCCTGCTTTTAATGCAAAGCGTATCGCGATTCGTTCAACCAACGACGCGCGTCGGGCAAAGGACGTAACGAATTCGCATCGCGTATTTTCATTTAGCGGAAGATTGGAGAAACTCTCTCTCTCTCTCTCTCTCTCTCTACCTCTCTCTCTATCTCTCTCTCTCTCTCTCTCTCTCTCTCTCTCTCTCTCTCTCTCTCTCTCTCTCTCTCTCTCTCTCTCTCTCTCTCTCTCTCTACCTCTCTCTCTACCTCTTTCTCTCTCTTCCTCTTTCTCATAAGCGACGGATCCAACATGCTCCGACACCGTAGTAGGAGAGATGCGGATTAAATTGGCATTATTCTGCCTCGTGAAACCGACAAGAGAGTTATCAATCATGTTGCGCGACGTGTCTTACACGTCCTTCGTTGTCAGGTGTGATTTACTTACGTGGAGTTTCGCGCGCGTTGATGTGTTGATGCGCGCGAAACTCCACCCCTTCACGAAGAGCCTCTCTTCCCTGAAAGAGTATCATCCTCCACAGGAAGGAGATGAAAAAAAGTATGATGAAAAAAGAAAGAGAGAGAGAGAGAGAGGAAGAGGAAAAGGGAGATAGATAGATAGATAGATAGATGGATAGATAGATAGATAGATAGATAGAGAGAGAGTGAGAGAGAGAGAGAGAGAGAGAGAGAGAGAGAGAGAGAGAGAGAGGAGAGAAACGGCAGAGTGACGAAAAAATACAGCCGGACGTGAGAGCTTAATTTAATCGGATGATCCGCGATCCTCGCCCGCGGCCCGCGTCCGTTGCTGCATAAAAATGCGCACGCGGTATGACATGGTCCGTTCTCTTTTTTCTCGCAGATCGAACGCAGCAGAAGTGTTCGGGCGCAACGAGCGGACTGCGTGGAGAGCAGCGTGACGTGCGACAGACTGTCCGAGGAAGCCGAGCCGGCGAACATGTGCAGAAAGTTGGGCACAATTCGCGGCAATCAGCAGAGCTGCATCAACAGGGTCGCCAGGGAGACAAAAACCGCGGGCACCTTGGCGGTGGTGGTGGGCGGTTTCGTCGCGTGTTGGTTGCCGTTTTTCATTCTGTATCTGGCCACACCGTTCGTACCTGTGGAGCCTCCGGACATCCTCATGCCCGCTTTAACCTGGCTAGGTAGGTAGGTAGATAGGTAAATAGGCAGCCCCTCCGTTCTCTCTCGGGCTTCTCTCGACGACGAGTCTCGGAATAGTCGATTCGGCACTCTGAGAGGATCTCGCTTTAGACGATCTCTCTCTCTTCCCCCTCCCGTCGCCCCTCTCTCTCTTTTTGTATGTCAATTCCGGTTCTCTCGCGCGCGACGGTTTTCGATCAAGAGCGTTCCCAGCGATAAAAGAAACTGTCAGTTGCGAGACGATGAAAAAGACGCGAAAAAGACGGAGCGACTCTCGGGGTGAGAGCCGAGCGAGGGGCTGAGTAGTACACCGAGGCACACGGCGTAACACGAGCTGTCTGTGTTATTTAGGATGGATTAACTCGGCCATCAATCCGTTTATCTACGCCTTCTATTCGGCTGACTTCCGACTCGCTTTCTGGCGACTAACGTGTCAGAAATGCTCCAAGAGCAGGCTGAACTTGGATGGCACGAATCGGAAATTACCCACTCCGGTTAACTGGAAGAAAGACACGTCGAGGACGTGAAGATCCCCTCGTGCCCCCTCCGCCCCTCCGCACATATATGAGTTCCGAACTTACTTAATTACGTGGCGACCGGAATTAGAGGAACGACAGTCGACTGCGTCGAACTTTATGTTTACTCGCAACCGCGCGGCACGTTGTCGAAGAATGACACGCGCCGCGGAGGTATGCGTGTCCGTCGACATTCTATGTAGACGCTGCTAGACGATCGATCGATTATGATTTAATGACGTTTTATATGACATACGCAAACTTCACTACGCACAGTATACGCGGGAATACGCGCGTAAGCTCTCCACTCCCGAGAGAATCGCATGAATAATTTTTCTCCCTTTGGGCGCGACGTCGCGCGCAGCGATCGACCCGGCTGGTCGTCCATAGTTTCGTTTCGAGCGAGTCGTTTGTTAGCTTTCAAATACTTTCGTTCACGCTCGATCGAGCCCCGCGCTTTTTCCGGAGCTCCTTAACAAATTTCACAATTTTATTTGAACGAATCTTCCGTTTTTTCTTAAACTTTCGGAGAAGCAGCGTTTACTCGTTTCCATTGTAGTGACTTCACTTCACTTCACTTCACTTCGTTCCGTCGCTTTGCGTCGCGTGCGAGAAGGTGCATCCGTGTTAGTCCCATTGAAAAATTCGTCGATACGCCTGAGTCGAAATTCAAAATTCACGGTAAGTCTCTCTCCGATGCCGATTTATATCTCTAAATAATGCTCCTCGGGTCGCGAGTCCTCTCTTGAATCTGCCAACGCCTCCTTTTCACTTCCATTTTCCTTCTTATCGCAGTGAATACAAATTTAAATCTCTATTGGTATATTCTGGACACACAGCTGCCGTCTTCGTCCTCGCGGTTCTTTACTCTCCGCTCCCTTTTGAATTCTCAAATCCTATCAAAGTCCTGCTGTGTGGTCCAGTGACGATACGAAATAATGATATAAAGATTATGAGGGGGATAGTCTGTTATCTTATCTTTTTGCGTTTGAGTTTGTGTAAAATCATTTAATATTTGCTTGTTGTATGATATAATCATCTATCTGCAATTAACTAAGTTACATGACTAACACGTAGCTTGTTAAAAGTAAGAATGAGGATTAAATGCAAATAGATTATTGGGATAATCAAATATTGAATAAGTAAATCCTTCTTCAAGTCTTAATTTGAAGAAAACAGCGATAAACAACCGTTTCTATCAGGAAAGGAGGACGAGGAGCCTGTGCAACGTTATGTCTCGAAATTCTCCGTTGATCTTTCAAGTTTGGACGGAATATATTTTAGTTAGTGAGGAATCCAAATTTCGACTCGGGCAATCGATATAACGCAAATGAACGTATGTCTAACTTTCTGTCTTTAATAAGATCGAAATAAAAAAGGCGCATTTCTTCTACGTGTCACGTAAACTTATTTCCCCAGGCAGTTAAAATTATTTTCTTGTTCACCTCTTCGTATGCACGGCGCGATACATTTAGGGAAGTAAAATAATACCGCTTAAGAGTAAATATATTGCAATTTATGCAAATATATGCGGTATGAATAAATTTATGCATATTTTTCATGTGTATAATATAATTCGTCAGTACTTCACGGAGGTTTTTTTTTGATACATCATATCGCGTGTAGCTACTTTATTGACGTATTCGCATTCGCATTTAAATATAAACGTACGTAAGTTTAGTGCAGACGTACTCGGAGCATGTAGCAGATTCTCCTGATGAAAACAGAGATTATGATGTGATGATATGAAAAATTTACGCGACTGTAGTGTATAGCGATGTTTAATCTCACGAGAAAAGTAATGTACAATAGATTATACAATAAGGTGTATGACTGATGCCTAATCTGTGATCAATATTGATGTAATCATCATCATATTCATTCGTGACATTTGTATACGACGAATAAAAATTGAGATTTTTCCTGTTCAATCGCCATATTATTGTACGCGTGTATCTAGTCTCTCTCTCTCTCTCTCTCTCTGCGTCTACATTTCGGTAAAAAAATTTTGCATGCATATTTTATATCCGATGTTCCGAGGAAAACTTGCTATATGCATCGAATACTTCATATCAATACTTCTTAACCAACACTTCGGCATCAGAAATGTGTAATATATAATTTGAACATATAATAATTTATATTTATTTATTTACGTAAGCAATGTGTAGAACATAACAACGAAACATCATACGTATTGAATCACGCGAATTTATAAATATGAAGATGGAGGATGAGAAGAATCGTGACTTATATATATCACTCGAAAAGGAACTGATAAATATTTGCAGCCTTCGATCGCAAGTGTTTACCAGTCCTAATTTAGAAAATTCTATCATTTTAGAAAAAATGTTAGGCAAAAGATATATGTTAAATTAATTATAGATATTAGTTAATTGAGAGAGTAGGAAGAAATTTCATAATCAATCGCTAAAGACTGTGTAGATACTCTACGTAACAAATTTTACTAAAGAATGATAGAAAGCCGATATACACTTTTATTTCTCACTATTTTTAATAATTCTACGTATATTTAATATCCTGCGCCACTTGTGTATCTTCGCGATATAAGTTAATATGCATAACTGGCGTTTGGAACTTCAATAGATACGATTTCAATATCAAATGAAATAATTTATTTCCACACTGATTTCATACACTTGTTCAATTAACGCGAACTTGTACAGGAGATGTTGCATGAACTAAAGAGTTCTTATATTCTCTACGAGACACGCACTTGCGATTTAACTTGAATATATCATACGCCGCGTGCCATCCTAATAATTTCCACGGGTACAAGAGACATTCTGGGTTCATCCTGGACGCACTCAGTTGACACTCAGACGTTCTATGATACTTTCTAGAATATCCCGCATATGCCCTAGGTGAGCCAGTGTCATGCTATGTGAAATACTTAGATATACATTCTTGAAAGAATTATTTGTAATTACGTCCAATTCTCGAAAGAATTAGACGTAAATTCTCTCTATTTTAAGATATACATTTGTATATAGCAGATATCGCAACGTTATTAGTTCGTGTGAAGATAATTAATAAAAGTATATACTTCATATTTAATAATGTGTTATCGGAATTCTTTGGACGACGGAATCAAGTTTGCAATGTTGATATAAATACCGATTAGAACTGATTCTTGATAACCGACCATATCTTTAAAAAGAATAAAAAATGATCGGTTAATTTGTGACATCTTTTCATAATTATCCATTATTCATTAGATTACCACTAGTAATATCCAATGGATCTTGTAAATGGAACATGAAGAAATTTACAGCTGGGTTTAAATAAGGTTAGGTTTCAGATCTGGATAAAACCTGTTAGAATTTTGACCCGTTACGAGATCATTAGACCCTTTATTTGCGGCTTTATTAGTTCCGAAATCTCTGCTACGAGACGCCACTTTCTTTAACGACGAATTGAGGAGGTATAATACCCGGGAAAGTCTAACAGTCGATATATGTGTCACGGGAATTTCTTGAAATTCTGTTTTCAATGCGCCTTCTGAAGATACGAATGTAAAAAAATACATTGATTACACCGGAGAGAAAAATAAATGTACTCAGCAACTAACTTGCCGCAGACTTTCACGTGGTAAATCGATATGTCAAGAAATGTCTCTCAACATCCACAACTCATGAAGGTAGGCACAACTTTGATAAATAATAAGCAGTAAAGTAATGTATACCTGGTGTAGTCGATTTACAACTGGTTCCAAGAGGTTCTTTTCGCAATTGATTCAGCCAAGACCCAAATTTCATTTTAGTTATTGACTATTTTGGTTTAAATCTTAGTTTTATATCTGCACGAAAAATACTGTATGAGAAAAAAAGTACTAAGTAATAGAAATAGAAATAAGTGACAGAAAGTAACATAGTTAAAATCGGAACAAATTTCATATATGAATAAAATATATTTCATATATATATATATTTTTATTAAAAATTAATGGATATATTAATATTTATTTTTAATATTTAATAATAATAATTATTATCATTATTATAATTATTCTGGTTCTGGTATCGTTTATTCATTTCCTTGCGCGTGTTCTTCATTCACTGTAGAAGTCTGTTGAAGATTTCTAAGGTTTCTTAGAAAACACATCATTAGATGGAAAGCTTTGTGACACTTTTCCGTGAAATCTTTTGCTGGAATATGAAAAAAATTTGTTGTTGATAATAATGAGATAAGAGTGGTATGTACATTGCATATTTTTTGTGTCTATTATTACGTTAATATGATAGAATGTACTTTGATTTGATTCTACTAAATCAATATATTTGAATACTTGTTTAAAGATCAACACACCTTAAACATTTTTTCTTCGTGAATATAACTAATGAACTTCGATTGGCTAGAAATCAAACTGTGCATATGATATAATAACAACTTACTTATATTAATGCAGTCATCTACCACTTTGATAGCTTCCCTCCCTTTCTTCTCGCCATAAGTGGTTAGAAATCCATTATGCATTTGTTCTACATTAATTTCTGATCCTACCATCTATCATTATCAAGGAGGAAACATAGGTATAACAGAAAAAAACAATAAAATACTGACAATTACTAGTAAAAGATACAAACGATAATAAATACATGAAATAAGAAAAAATAAGTAGCCCTTACCTGGCCCGTTTTTTCCAAACTACAATGTAAAACGCAACCATGTTTCCTTATTTTCTCTTCGTTTCCAGGTTCTTTGTATCTTTCGTACATTATGTCGTCTACGGTGAACAAATCAGCTGAAAAGTAAATGATAATATGATAATATTAAAATAAAAGATGATAAAAGATAGAAATATATATATAAAGATATATGTATATAAATTATATATATTAACACAATCTGGACAAGTTTGTGACACAAATGAATAACAAAGATAAAAAATATCGAGGGAAAGCTGCATATAACTGCACTTTAACTCACTTGGTGTAATATAAGTTTCATTCAGACACTCAGAATATTGCGTACCATGTATATCCTGGTTATTTGATTCTGACTGCCTTTGTAAAACCATAGCTGAGGTAAAAGACTAAAATAGAATGAAAGAATATTTCGTGAATCAGCTTTCAACCTTTACGAGTTATTACATGCCCGCTAGAAAGCACACGTTGATTTAACATATTTATAATTTAATTATGTTCAAATATACACAAGCGTCACTTTTGAAAAATCCGATTTTTGCAATAACAGCGAAATTCTTACGATAAGTGAGAAAACGCAAACGTAGAATGTCTTCATGTTGCTTGAAATGTTTCTCTGCTATCTCAAAACGCGTAGTTGTTCTCTGCTATCTCAAAACACCAAGTATACTGGCAAAGTTTATCGGAGTATGGCACATTTATATATGTAAGCCGAACTGTAAAATGCATAGGTTACAATCGTGGGTTACAGATTATATAAACACAAGACATATATATTACTGCGGAAAACACGTAGTTATAAATAATTTAAAATATATATAAGTCACTAGCTTGTTTACATACATATTATTTTCAAATATGAAGCTCTGAGAATGGTAAGAACTTCAAAGCATTGAAATTATTTGATGAAATAAATAATGGATATGTTTCTAATGCGCAGCACAATCAATTTATTGTAAAAGTATTTAACAGAAAAAGACAGTTGATATTATATTCCGTAATTTATTTTCGATAAATCGACAGCTAATCAATCAGAGATTATTGCAAAATCAAGGTTTCTCAGTACAAAGGGGAGGAGCAGAGGGAGGAATAAATAATCAATGTTACATTTCTTGTTTCTTTATATTTAATATAAATGTACTGTCCACTTTTGTACGTCAGTTATAAAATTTCATTCCCATCGATCTTCACGCAGCCTGTCAGTGCGGCTATTTATAAATCCGTCCCTTGAGTCTACGAATCTTTTGAACTCGGCTCGCGAGTATACAAGTGCAGAGAGACAATAATACGTATCAAGGGAACTCATTTGGAAAATTATGCCATTCTTCTGAGTATCGAGTCGACGCAACAACGACTTATTAAACATCACATTTGCTCTCGCGGTCTAGAGTTGCCTGTGTGGAAGACACTTCTGCGAAAGAACGTCGGCGCAATCTGCGATAAGTAAGTGGAAAAATTTCGCCTGCTCGACTGGCACATCGGATGAGCGATGGTCGGTCGGACTCTACGACGGACGATATTGGTAAACGGTGTTGTCCAGATTGTGGAAGGCCATCTGCTCGTCGATCCAGTTGCGCCCGTTGGATATGCTAGCGTAAACACCGGGAGTGCCGTCCTCACCGCAGCCGAGTCCCCAGGCTACGATGCCGGCCTGGACGTATCTGCGCGGGTCGTTCTTCAGCGGGCAGACCAAAGGACTTCCGCCGTCACCCTGCGGCCAAAGTTAAACGATCAGTCTCCTTCGGACACGAAGGAATGCGCGAAGACGCAAGAGGATAATTCTTCGGCGAACGGTTGTTCGAACACACGGATAATCATCGGACGACACTCGGATAATAATCAAGTCTCAAGTTTCATTCTTATCTCTTTTCTTCTTTCTAGAAACGGAAATTCGCAAAGCGGTTGCTCGATGCGAGAGGGAAAATATCGCACATGCGAAAATGCCGTACATTCCTCGGGAATAAATAAACGCGTGGTAGCACGCGGTTTGCCGATAAATATGTGCACGACCAAAGCCTCTTTGTGGGAAATGCCGTTAAATTTACCTTGCAAGTGTCTTTTCCCGCTTCTCCACCTGCGCAGATAAAGCTCTTGTCCAGACGGAAGTAGTTTCCTAGCCTGGTGGTGCGCAAGATGTCCTGGCAGCTGTTGTGAGGAACAATAGGGAGCTCCACCCTTTTCAGGATCACCTGATAACGTCCTTCTTTGCCTGTAATTAAATATCATCCCGTGAAAGCACGCTGCGTCAGTCAATCTGGACCAGTCTGAATTCAGCTTGAGCTTTGAGCCCACTCCCGATCCAAAAAGATGATGCGCAATTATGTAAAATCGCATATAATTGCACATAAATTATGTACATTATCATACTACATGACCTATGCGTGAATTCCGAATCGCGACACCAACTTCTTCATCGTCTGTCTTACCGAACACGTCCTTGCCCCATCCGCTGGCGAAACACTTGGATCCGTCAAAGATCATGCCCGTCTCCGGCAGGCACACGATATCCACGTTCTCCGCGTATTCCACCGGCTCCTTCAGGATCAGAAGCGCATAGTCATTGAAGAGCGCACCCGAGTGGAATTTCTCATGGACCACGATCGTCTCGACGTCGCGGTCTTGATGCGGGAAGACCTCGCTCTTCGTCATCGTGTCCCATTCTCCCGCACGGATCTTCAGCTCGTGCGGCTGCTTCCTGCGAACGGCCGACGGCGAGACAAATCGCAAAGTTAGAGGAACGATCAGCGGATTTCCAACTGGGTTATAATTATATATGTCTGTCATAACTATACACCATAATTATTGCGCGCAATTGTACGCAGCAGAATATATTTCTACGTAAATCTTCTGATTATCCTAGAACGCGACTAACCCGTTGACGCAGTGAGCCGCGGTGAGGACGGCCTTTTGGTGGATGAGGGCACCTCCGCATTGATAGACGTTCAGCTTCTGTCCGCTGGTGCCGATGGCCTCCTCCTTCAAGATCGCCACCATCCAGGGGAACTCACCGAACTGCGCCTCGTTGTCGCTCTGGCCGGTGATCCGGAAGCCAACTCCCTCAGGATTTCGTTTCCCACATCCGACTCGCGGGTCTGGAGTTGGCGTGACCGGTATATCCACCGTGTCCGGTGGCTTGCAGCAGACATCCAAGTAGTTCTCACATGGCCCGAGACCTCTGTTTGTGTTCAACAACGATAGCGATACTGTCAGAATAACAATTCGTGGGCGTTGCGATTAATCGCGTGTAACGCGAGTAGCGTGACGCAATTTCCCATCTGCACGAACAGTCGATAAGAGGAATATACATTTCGCCAACGAAGCTCACGAGGTTTCCTTCACAACGACACACATCTGTTCTTTCTTTAACGAATCACCGTGACGCCTCTTCTTTTAAGACGCCTCTTCGAACTCTTGAAGCGACTTAAAATTCGTTAACTTGTAACGAGGTGACTCGATACGAGACACCTTTGAAACCGTCCCACTACCTTGTTAATTCGCTGTTAAAAAGTAACTTCCTCTGTTCTGTATTTGCTGTTCGCTCGGTTCGATCTCTGTCATCGCGCTCGTCATGGCGGCATCGTTCGTGCGATGCGATGCAGCCACACGGACGCTCGGAATAACAACTAGAATAGTTGCATATTTTGGCAGCTCCAGGGGGATTTGAGTTCCCAAAGATAAGATCCCATGCGATGTGTGTGAATAGGCATGCTCTCGAAACGATCAGGTAGGAACCATATCGAGCAATTTCCAGCCCGTAATTCGCGCCGGATCTAACCCGCCTGGTGAAACGGCAACATTTTTACACAAACGTTCATAGATTCACTCATGTACGAAGAACAACGAGAGGGAAAACTGCCAATCGGCAGTCAACGAGTCCCGATATCTCAAAAATTTCAACTCGACATGCAACTCCAACCGGTATTATATTATAATACAATGAAGATATCCAGAGAAGATAGAGAGCGCGGTTACATGCGTAATATAATAGAAGGGACACTCGACCGAAAACGTTGTGGCGACGATGTCCTCGATAAGCCGCAACAATGACGTTTTCACGCGAGATACGTCTAATTGCATCACCATTTACACGGTGTTATCTCGAACCGCGCGCGCAACAAGGGAAAGGCAAACTTCTCTTGATTGGGCAACAGCAGCAACGCGCGGCAACTTCCGCTTTCCACCTGGGATACTCGATCGTTCTTCGTGTTTGACGCAAACCACACACCATACGACACGTTGCCGGACCGCGTACGACAGCCCTTATCTCGTACCTTATCAATGTTCTCGGGACTGGTATTTGAAATTGGAGACGAAAGTAACACGCGCGAAAATCGGCATGCGGGAAGACGGGCTTCGCGTCCGTATTCGCGTTGCGTTGTGTTAAATGCTGGCCGTAAATTTAATTTATAGTGAAACAAAATAAGCCTGTGTCAACGCGCGAGAAAAAAAAATTATAAAATGACAAGAGCGACGATCATCACGTGATGAGACTCATTATTTATGAGATAAGTATCAAATATATTTTATAATGAGAAAAAGAATATAGCAGAGAGAGAGAGAGAGAGAGAGAGAGAGGAATGTTTGATAAGTTAATACCTTCTTAAAATTTATATTACTTTTTTACAATACATGTATATAGTTATTGGTGGTTCAGTTTTCTCAACAAGTTATACCGCATGGTTTAGGAAAGTAAAAAAAATGTAGACAAAATATTAATTTGTCAAATTAGAAATCTTATGCGAAATGTTTGGTATGCTTACTTCGTAGATGATGATATGCTCTGTCATGACTAACATTACACGTTTTTCTTACATTTTTCCTTATGCGTTGACTCGAGTTTACTGTGCGCTGTGCGCAGAGTTGCTAAGCTTGCGGCCGGCACTTAATGCAACATAATGCATTCTCGCGGACACATTTCTGCGCTCCAGGCTCCAAGGAAACGAAAGTCACGTCCGTCGCGCGCGGTCGCACCGAAGTCGTTATAAAACTTTCAACCTTCGTCTTACCATCAAAGGAGCGGGTGGGAAGTGGCATGCCGTGAATGAAACACATCACCGTCCGGAGTGAAGCCAGGGCGGAGAATCCGATCTTTGGTAATCTTAGACTCACCCCTGGGACTGCCGATCGTTACCACCAAAACCGGACCTGATGTCGATGATGCCGATCCCGGTCTCCAGGATCTTGCCCTCCTTGCACTGATAATAGGGCACGCACTCGCAGTTGTCCGGTTTCGGCGACAGGGTATTTTGCGAGCCGAGGATCAGCCCGTTAGGGGGGGCTGCGGTGGTGACGTTCCCGGTCCCGAAGACGTCCTTGATGAGGGTGTCGATGTCGCCGCCGATCTGGGGCACCGACTGCGGGGTCGTACTGCTGCTGGGGAACACTTGATCGATGAGACTTCCGAGATCACCGGGATTCTGCGCCGCGGGCAACGCCGTCACCAAGACCGTGCCGAGCAAGGTCAGCGTGGAAACCAGTCGCCACATGGTCACGGATCCGAGAATTCTAATATGCCTACGAGGTGAACGAGAGAACAGCGTAATTACATACATACACTCACACTGGACAGCGAATCACCGATGATCCTTGAGGTCAAGGATCAAATCTAAAAGACGTCCACCCTGCCGCATCTAATAGAATCATAAAAATCATGTAAAAACCGGATGTCGCAGAACGATTATCAAAGCACCGATTATAATCGGTACTTTGATGTACTAAATGATGCAATTAGAAGAAAAGAGCTGAACAATTTTGTGCGTCCTATACATAACCTCAAAAGTAGCCCAAAAAGCTATTTTTCGAGTATATAACCTCAAATATCTCAAAATCCTGACGTGATGGGCGAATTCTGACCTCGGATTAGGATTCTACGCAGAAAATTACTTGGGAAACGACCCCCAGCTGCCCAACAACAAAACCTTGTAGACCTGTGTTATGTGCCTATATACAATATTTAATAAACATGCTTATACATACGCACGCACACATTTATTATACTATGCTGTGCCAATATACCAAATATTTAGCCGTCATAAATGTGAATTAAAAAGCGCCAGGTCCTTCTCTACTTGTGTAATGTCTCCCTTTTTCGCAGCACCCGTTGTATGGTACTTGCGCGAATATTTTTGCACTTGCAACAGGATAGCTGTCTTTCACGCTTGTGCCTTTCTCGACCAAGTATGAGTCGAATCCTTATCCAGGAGTGTGCAAAATGCAGTGTCGCGGGAACGATCGTCGTTCTCGCTCACTCGTTGGCATTGGTTTTACGACGGGCTCAAGCAAAAATCTCGACACTGATGCGTCTCGGCAAGAAGATATCTTCTTTTTCGAGACTATATATAGCGATGATAGCCGCGAGGATCGTGGATGAACTTGGTTCGCCAGGATTCAGTAGTCCGTGAAGTCTCCAGTTGCTTCCACTTACATGTTTGTGTGTGTGTGTGTGTGTGTGTGTGTGTGTGTGTGTGTGTGTGCGCGTGTGTGTGCGATCCTCACGAAGCAAGGTAATAATTCAGCCTTCGGCGGTCCTGGTTGTCACGGAGAAATATTGATGACGATTACGAGGTTCCGCATAAATAAACGTTCGTCGATATATTAATCGAGCGCGAGACTAATCAAGATGCAAAATAAACCGACAAAACTAATTAAAGTGCAAAATATTCGCAGGTATTATTAAATCCCGCTGTTTCGCTGTCCCGTAGAGAAAGCGAGTTAATCTCAAAGTTCTAATGATGACCATGAGATAATGGCGAATTAATTCCTCGCCCGTGCTCGTATCGTGCGTCTCGATCATTTTCCTCCTGTCCGGGATTCCCCCGATTTGCCGGAACGCGAGATACACATTAGGCGTGTGAAACGCAATATGTATGTCGTCACAATTATAGCAATTAATATCCGCGATAACCGCGGCGAGTCGTGAGAGAAGACACATCTCTTGTTCGAGAATCTGAGTGACGTTAGAAATTATTTATCACGGTAATAACGATGTCTAAAAAATCATGCCAAAGGTCGCTACCCGCGTTATCTCATATAACTGCTCCATTTGCTCTTCTTTAATTATACAGAATATTTCACAGATTATATCGATTTTAAATTCAACGAGTAGAACTACTCGTTACTACAAACAACCTGCCTTGTTATAAAGAGAAATAATCACCGCCGATAAGGAGATTCCACTAATCATCTTGCTTCGAGAATCTTCCAATTATAACAGTAGTCGTTATTGACCTTTGAATTCGTCATTAAGACTGAGAAAAATTTCCTGCTCGAGACGAGATATTGTAAACGAGACAGACAGAGAGAGAGAGAGAGAGAGAGAGAGAGAGAGAGAGAGAGAAGCATTTTCCTTAAAGGCGGACGATCGTGATGTACGCGGACCGTGACAATTCGACTGCACAATTAGCCAGGATACTCGACGTCCTCGTGCGGCCGGTGGAGCTCCAAGGCTCTTCCGCGATAAAGACGCAGACGAGCGTGTCCCATCGAATGAAAATATTTTCCTTCATCTATCTACACACACACACACACACGTAAACAATGCTCGGCTTCAACGGCCGTCGTAAACGGTGGCTAAACGGAAGTAGAAGATAATCCGCCGTTAAATTCGTTTAACGTCTTTCTGCGAACTCCATCGCTGGCGCGTTACATAATCTCGTCTCGGTCGTAAGCTGCCAGATTTAGCCGAAATTGTAGAATATTGCGGATGACGCGATCGCAAACCGGTCTTGTCGGAGTGAATTTCGGCCAGCCGGTAATCCCGAGTAGACGCGGTCGACCGTCAAAGGAATCAGCAAATTTTCCCGCCGTAGGATACTCGCGTGAGGACCTCGTGTCGCAGAGGACGATCTATGTAGTCACCGTGAATCGTTTCATAAACCTGTCGCGTCAGGAATGTCCCGAGATGTCGTATTTGTCTACTCGTGTTTTCGAGTACTCGCCAGTACTCGCGCGATTTCAGGGCTCGGTATTCGAGCTGAGACTCACCAGAGACGGACGCCAAGGACACAGCGCGACGAGCACCTTCCACTCGGAGCTACGATACACGTTTAGTGTGATCCTGAGCGCTGAACCGTGAGCAGTTTCCTCTGTATATCCACAGGATCCCTACTCCGGGCATTTATCGCGAACTCCCCCACCTTGTCTCGATTCGACATCGTTACCACTCCAAGTGGAGACTTGGAGAACCGGCATTTCCCGTCCGTGTGCGTCGGCCCTGGGAGGCGAGGCGGTTTTTCCAGATATTTCGATGGAAGGTGCATGTACACTCCGCCGTTCCTGTGACGCACGAGCCTCGTGTGTCTCACCTTCCTCGTGAACAGCAAGCCTTGAGTGCCCGTCGTCCCGATTGGCTCCGGGCCAAACGAACCCTACGCGCGGCACCGTCCTCCAGCCGGCAGGGGCTTCCCCGAGGCAGCTCGGTTTTATCTTCTTCACGAAAGTCGCCTGAAAGTGACGTGATAACAACCCTCCGATAATCGCTGGTGAATAAACGACGAGCGAGGCAAGATTCACGAGTAAATTTGCTCGAGCCAGCCCGCATCTTCGCCCGGAATGCACCTTATTCGCTCGTCCCGGCGAGATTTCTGGCTGGTCCGATCGTTTTCCTTCGGCTCGATGAAGCAAACAACGTGCGAGCTTTGGGGATAACCCGAGAGTTCTCGGGCCGAATAATTGCGACATGCCGCTTAAACGCGACTGGCATACGCTCGTCACGATTAGCACACACTGATTTTTGGTGTTAAGGTCAAGATGAGATTACGTCTAGACGAGCCTGAACATTCGTACGACAGCTCGTTCGCCGTGATATTCGCGCGCGATTTTTATTTTTGCAGCGGCAGCGGCACGGAGAGGGGAGAGATGTATGGCGTCATATTAATTTCAGATTACAAGGAAAACGGACACGGGTCAATGGAATTTATATAATGTATATGTAAATAATTTATATAATCGTCTGTGCGTTGGCAGGCCTTGTGTCAATAGGTTTCGTTTCGTCTTCCCCGCTGCGACTGGTAGATGTATGTTTAGCTCGAAAATAAAACTATGATACATCAGCAGACAGATAAAATCAAAGCCGAAGCGACGTGTCATTAATATTGACAATTTATAGTAATTTCTATTTTTAGTCATGTGCTGTAGTTCGATTTTTTAATCTTCACTGGACAAGACAGCTTATAACAAGCACTTACACGTGAAATTTTTAATGTTCACCGAAAAATGAAAATTTCAAATCAAATACGTTAAGTTAGATGAAAAGTTTCGTTTGGTTTCCGATAAGTATTATTTACATGCAGTATAAGCGATAATGCTGCCAGAATGTTGACGAAGGATCGTAAACAACAACGGAAATTGCTCGGTTATTGAATACTTCGTTTGCTACCGAATGCGACAAAATAAAATTTGCCTAAAATTCGAACCGATATTTTTGGCTGATTCGCTACCCGTTACATGATACCCAATTTTAACTTTTAGAAATATATATTATGTGTGTATCGAAAAACAAATAAAATAACCACGAGCTACAAACGTAATATTAAAAGTTTGTCGCGGAATAACCTCGTTAGAGAAAAGAACTGGATCAATCGACCAGGTTGACGTCGCATGTGTCACTTAATAATTATTAATGACGCACGTCGATACAGGAAGATTGTCGAGATTGTCCTGCTTCAACGCTGCACGCAATTCAGGTGACGTATAATCGACCGGCAGGTATTGTTCGCAGGTGTTGCAATAGCGTTCTCATTCAGCGCTACTATCTGATCGGAAATGGCAATTACCACTGCCATTTCATCGAATACGAATAGTACGAATTACGCTACTTGTCACTTTGCCGAACGTAGACGCTTTGCAGGAAATCGAGAAATTTATTCTGAGAAATTACGAGTGTTAAACCTCAACATAAGGGAATGAGTTTGCCGCTGTGGTACATTATCCTAGTTTGTGTTTTCTTCTTCTTTTATCAATAACCTAAAACTATATCAACCACAAACTGAATAAATAACAATCGCCAGCGAATAAATATCCCTCTAAATTTGCTTGACAAATCCACTTGGAATCACCTTTCTCGTACAGCATAAAATCTTCTCAGAAGATTATTTAAATGTACAGATAAAGCACTATTTTAAAAAAAAAAAAAAAAAAATCTGAAAAATAATATATACACAAGAATATGTCGTAATAATGCAAAAAACCAATTTCCTATTCACACAATATTTACGCAATTATATAAGTTTCAAGAGTAATCGTTTTTAATCTTTAGCAGGAAGTCATGAATACATACATGGCTTAATTATCTCCACATCGAAATATTTATACGTTTTTTTGTCGACTATTTCTTATATAAACGTGTATATAAAAACAGATGTTATGCGTTGTAGAATGAGGTATTTCGTATTTAAAGTTCATAATTCGATTTCACAACGTTGACGCGTTGTGCTGTGCGTGGAAAAATGTATTTTTTTATTGTGCAGGTCAGCTTAAATTAAAATATATCCTCTGATTGTGCAAGAGAAATTTATAACAAAGAAATGTAAATAAAACTCGAGAACATATAACCTTAGCAAATACAATTTTCAACGAAATATTTGCGCGTAATTATTTTAACAAAATCTGCAAGTCTAATTTGTATATATTAAGAGAAAAAAATTATGAAAAATTAAAAACGTTTTAATATGTGCTCTGCACGTGTGTTATAATTAAAAAAATAAAAAAAAAAACCTTCCACCGTGACAATGCTTTCACACATTGCCGTGACCAGGATTCGAACCTGGGTTACTACGGCCACAACGTAGGGTCCTAACCACTAGACGATCACGGCTACTGGAAGATCTGACTTCGGAGTCGAGAATTGAGCACAAAGCTATCCTCCTTCTTCTTTTTTATAATGACTGAAATACTTCCGCTAAATTCTATATATTTTCTAATAGTCCCTTTTTCTCTTCAACTATATTTATTGTACGTTAAATGTTTTCTGTTCTTTTGTAATCTAAATAGCTAAATAATATGAGCTAGTAATTTTCAATTTTTTTTTACCTACGTTTTTCAATTTTTTATTACCTACAATTAAATATGTTGAAATAGCTTGGTTTCACTTGTGCTAAATAATTAAAATTTTTCTTTTAACGAATCACATATAATTAAAAATGATTTTCCGTCATACTTTCGTGAGAATATGTAGAAAAGATATATTCCGGTAAATATGTAGAAAAGATATATTCCGGTAAATGTATGCAGTCCTTGAATTTTTCGAATACGCGTTATCATGCTGCGATGAGGTTTACTATACGATTTTCAAATTATTGTTAGTTAAGGAAAAAAGATCACTCAGATTAACGAAAAAAAAAAGGTTCAATACATGTAACTAAGTTTTTGCTATTTAGAGCAGAGCTGGAGACGATCTGCACATTTCGGACAAAATTCACGAGGTAACCTGCCATCGCTCGGTGCTCAGTGCCTGAGGCGACGATCACGGTGTGTTCAGGTCCGTCGCTATATAAGAAATCGGCTAGAGCATCGCCCCGCATCATATTAACATTAAACTTTTTTCCTTCCTTTATAGCTTTTTCCTTATAGCTCGCTCGCTCGCCTCTTGTCACTTGCGCTCGCTCGCTCCTCGTCGCGCGCGTTCGCCTCTTATTGTTTACGATGCCCCTCGCCGCGCGCGCTCGCCTACCGTCACTCGCTGACTCCGCCTGTATCAAATGTCTACGTGCTTACTGCGATCGCCCTCCGCTCTTTACGCGCTTGTTGGCTCACATGTTTTAATTAATAACTCGATAACTATTGGCAATTTGACATTATGGTACATGACTTTTCTTCTTGGCTACACCCAATCTATCTCCAACTTTCGTCTGCATGATCAGCTATCAAACACCCTGTATATATATATAAATAATGCCTAAACATATATTTTAAAATTATTAAACGAGGAAAAAATTTTAATAATATAACGCGAGGGTGCGCCCCAACTGATTTCTTATACAGCGACGGACCTGAACACACCGCGATCGTCGCCTCGGCTGCTAAGCGCGGAGCGGTGGCAGGGAGGTGGGTGTCACCTCTTAAATTTCGCCCGAAATGTGCAAATCGTCTGCAACTTTGAATTAGACACTCGGTCGCATGGGTTTTTTCCCTGTATAGTCCTCGAAGAATGTGATGACGATGCAATATCCAAAATCCACCAGGTAGTCCAAGAACCTCGACCAAATATATGAGTGATATAATATATGAGTGATTATTCTAATATTTTATTTATATTGTATATATTGTAATATCTAATAATTATATTTTATTATACATACATTACATATCGTTTAATTCACACAAGTGATGTTACGTAAGACACGCATGACAATAGTTATAATATTATGCAAAGTATTATACATCACTACACCCCGTAAGTCGCCAGTTGCTTGTCTATCCATTGACGATGCTGCGATACGCTGGTGTACACCGCAGGAATGTCAGAAGTTCCACAACCGATACCCCACGACACGATGCCAGCCTGAAACAAATATTCATTTACTTATCAAGAACCAATTTGATTTATTTCCTCTTCAATATTATCTGGTTTCGTTTTGTTTTGTCATCAAAGAATTTATGGCAATTAACAAGAGGTTTATTTATCATCCTTCAAATGACAATAATCCGCTTTACCTGAAAGAATTGTCCCGTAGCAGTTTGACAGGCCAAAGGCCCACCGCCATCACCACGACACATGTCTTTATTCGCTTCACCTCCCGCGCAGATGAACGACCCGTGCAGCTGGAAGTATTCGCCCAACTTTGTGCTCCGCAAACGTGTCTGGCACACCGCGCGATCGACGATGGGAACGTCGACCTTTCGAAGCTTTGCTTGGTATGTGCCTTCTGGTCCTGAAAAACACGTGAACCAATGTCAAGGCCAAGATACACGAGGAACTTAGTGTACAAAGTCAACGAAGACTTACCGAAGGAGCTGCTGCCCCATCCTGTTCCGTAGCACCTGGTTCCGGCTGCAAAGACCATACCTTGTTCAGGTAGACAAATCGGCAGGATGTTTGCGCTGTAAGTAATCGATTTCTCAAGAACCAGCACAGCTACGTCATGGAACAGTCCGCCGCTGTAATACGTCGGGTGCGTGATTATCGCGAGGACATCCGCTTCTTGAGCTGGCAGCGCTTGAGCATTGTTCACTGCGTCCCATTGGCCGAACCGTGCAACCAAGTTCTCAGGTTTCTGACTGCGGAGGAGGATTTAGGCAGGAACTGAGTCTCAAAAGCTTTCTTCTCGAAACTCGTCTTCGCGCACTCGAGGATGTGGCGCTTTCGACTCGCGCGTACCTTATAACGCAATGCGCGGCCGTGAGGACGGCCCTGTCGTTAATCATTGAGCCGCCACATTGGAAGACGTCAGACTCGCCCGTAGACTTCACCAAGAGTGCGACCATCCATGGGAATTCGGCGAAGTAGGTCTTCTCCGAGTCAGCGGGAAAAGGCTGCGCTGTGGAGATCGGCGGCTGTTATCACGATTGTTCGAATGAAGCGAAGCGTTCTAATGCCCGTTTCTACCGACGCTGATTAAATGTCGACTCGAGTTTAAACTCTATTCAAACTTGGACTCAAATTGAAGTTTAATCGAATTGTTGGTATAAATCAGTTTGCAAGTGCTCAACTCGGGATACATCGGCCGTAGTTTATATTTCGCTGAGTTACGGCGGCTCGGTATTTCGTTTGAGAAATTATGCGAGGAGCTATGCCTCCTCCTCAACCGAAAGATCATATATAAATATGTTATTAGAATTACTTCACGAAAAAAATATTAATCACAAGACTCCCTTCCTTTTATTCCTAATGTGTTGCGTAACATTGCAACTTGTAGCAATTCTGTAATCATTCGCACAGCTTTCTCTGTTTCTCTAGAGAGTACTCCTGTATAAATAAATAAATTATCATATATAATTATCTTCTTTATCGGGAGAGACAATGTTTCGGCTCATACTTACATGGCGCATAGCTGTCGTCGCGTATGCCGCAAGTCGTCTGCGACAACGATTTGGGCTTCATATTTGCGATGAAACGCTCGGGCGACGACAAGAAAGCGTCGCCGCTGCGAAGGACCTGCAAATCGATCCCCGTGGAGAGACAGCACACCTGGTCCGCGGACGAGCACGTGGTGAACCTCGGGTCGATTACACCCAGACCGTCGGGGCTCACTACGTTGCCCTCCGAACACATCCAGGTCTTGACGCAATAGCAGGCCTGCGATGTGCCCGGGTTCTTCAGCGGACCCAGAAGCTCCACGCTGGACGAGATCGTCCCGTCTTGGCAAAGTGACGCGCTGCTCGTCAAGCTCCTCGAGCAGAGGTCAGTTTGCGGCAAGGGGAACCTGGGGTCTATCACGCCGGTACCGGGCGAAATGATGAGTCCACAGGTGATGCATTGAATGGCGTTACCGCACACGAAACACAGCTGAATCTGACCAGGCGATGAGGTAGACGTCGTCATCGAGGTCGGAGGATTCGTCGGTCGTTGCGTCGTGGTGGTGGTGGTGGCCAGTATCCTGCAGCAGACCTGGTTGGCCCCGGGACACAGGCTAAGACCGCGTCGAGGGTTTATTATACCCTCCCCGGAAATAGTAACAATCCCATTAGGGTCGCATAGAGAAATCTCCACGCAGATACAATTGATATTCGGCGGCCTGGCCGTGGTGGTAGTAGTAGTAGTAGTAGTAGTGCTGCTGGTGGTAGTCGTAGTAGTGGGTGTCATCGTTGGAGTAGTCGTAGGTCTTGGTGTTGTGATATTCGGCAGATAACAGCAAACCTCGAAGGCCCCGGCGCACCTCCGGGAACTACGATAAGCTATTTTGTTACTAATTGTGCATACACACACACATACAATGTTCTATAGGAAACCGATCCCTGAGTATCAGAGAGTCAATCTTTATCTACGTGCATCTGAAATCTAGGTGTTATCTGTACGAGATTATCGGTAAAATTCACAGATAATTTAATTTACATTGTTACAAATATGTAAACTACATCAATCAATCGATATCAGTATCATTCGTCTATATCTACGTGCATCTGAAATCTAGGTGTTATCTGTACGAGATTATCGGTAAAATTCACAGATAATTTAATTTACACTGTTACAAATATGTAAACTACATCAATCAATCGATATCAGTATCATTCGTCTATATCAGTAAACTCGGGACTCGGCTCGACCAATGAGCCGAGTGTAAGCTTAAACTCGGAAAAAACGTCATCAGTCACCAAATGTTGGATAGTCGACTCAGCACTCACCGGACATCGATCACCCCCATGCCATCGGTGATAATAGTCTGATTAGCGTTACACAGATAAAACGGCACGCAAATGCAGGCCCTATCGTCGCTGGTCGTGTTGCTTGTAGCGGTGGTAGTAGTGGTGGTGGTGCTGGTGATCCTTTCTAGTTTCTGAAACTGCAGTTTATGCTTAAGCAGATGCAAGAAGAACAGAGGGGACGACCTGGCGAACGACATCGCGTCTTGATCCCGCGATAGGACGCGACTCCCCCGTCGCATCACGATCGGTCTTTCGATTTGATCAGACTCGTTGCGGTTCGCACCTTCCGAAAACGCGACACCGAACACCATCGCGATGGCTATGTTCACCAGCACGTATAGCCGTGGCGGCATGACGAAAATCGTTGCTGTCTGACGGCTCGCAGTCTATTGAGCGATTTTTAGCACGAACGCACGTTTATGTATGCAGGATGTGCTAGTGTTCCCCCCTGTTTACGAGTAAAGAGATCCAGATACGACGCTAATAGCGTATTCTTTGTTACACCGAGCAATTTTTGAAGGTAAAATAATATAGTAACGCGTCGTGTCGTGCCGTGTGCTCGAAAATATACGGAGAGGGAACGTGTACAAGTTAATGATTTCTTACAATTCGACAATATAAATGTCGTGTACAAAAATTGGAGCTTATTGTATTATTATGTATCTATCTTCGCGATATATTATATACAGGACATGTGTATAAAATAAATTATGATTAAATACATACACATACATATATCATTTTACAACCCTTATGTATGTATACACGCAAAAAGATATTAATTTTATGGGCAAATCAATTATATCTCTGCAATGTGAATGACTATCCGTTTAAGTGTTCAAACACAAAGAGCGACCTACTTACACAGCAGCTGTCACACATCAGCGATAGCTGTTACTTAACATTTTTACGCGAATACATCATCGAGTTAACACTGAATAATTTCCTGAATTGAACAATAGAACGCGTACTGCAATATACAGGGTGTTCTAAAAAGATATGTCAAAAGTTTAAGGAGATATTCCTCACACCTGAAGAACGAAAGAATGTTACATGGACGTAGGTGCGGAAATGCTTATTTCAGGAGTTATGTTGCAAATACTGGAATACAAGCACGTGTCCGTGAATCAATGCGTCGACGTGTCACTGCTTGTATTCAGGCGAATGGCGAACATTTTCAACATTTATTGTAACTAACTCAAGGTCGCATTAAAACCAAATGTAAATAAGCCTAATTAAACGATTGTCGTCTACGATAATTGATCCTAAATTTTTCCTTGTGTAAGTAATATAGCTAACAGTATTTTCAACATAACTCCTGAAATAAGCATTTCTGCACCTACGTCCATGTAACATTCTTTCATTCTTCAGGTGTGAGGAATATCTCCTTAAACTTTTGACATATCTTTTTAGAATACCCTGTACATACTGTTTCAAACAGTGTTTTAATTTACCTGAGTGCAAGCGCGAGTGCGAGAGTGAGCGCAACATTTTGCAGGATACTATACAGGATATTTTTTCTTCAAAAATTAATAATTTTCTTTGTTCCTAGAAATAAATTTGAAAAAAAAAAAAAAAAAAAAGGATGTCATGTACAAAATACCAATCCACGTAAATTAAAAATGTTGCAAGGAACGTAATTTATCTAATGGGCCTTGTTTATACAGATTCACGTAAGAATGTTTACGCCGATCTTAACGATTTATTGCCAATTCATGTTTCCAATCAAAGCAGAAAAAGACTCGCGAGTAGATTGCTGACAAATTCAGCGACGTTGAATAAAATTTATATTAAAAACCGTTTGCACATGCATATAGATAAACAAAACGTTCGATCAAATGCAGATATTTTCTCTATTGATCATTATCAAACATAATACAAATGCGTACAAATACATTTAAATACGTGATATATTAATATCATTAGTAGAAACTATAGTTAATACAAAAATTGAGATGGCAAGATGATTGTTACGGTCGCACGCCCAAAATGTATAATCTTAAAATGTAAACGTGTACGAGAAAAAGATACGTCTAGAATGCACAATACATAATTCCGAATAGGCGGATTTATTTAACAAAATAAAAATCCGACGAAAAGACGTTAGATTACGTAAATTATCAAACTTGTATTGTGGATACTGCAGATCTCGCCATAATAAAGTTTAGTTCCTTTGAAACTGAAAATTACTCTCGTGAAATAAAATGTTACTGGTTGTGGTTCTAGAAAGTTTATCGAAGTGCGTGAACATCGCTAAAACCAAAGTTTTTGCGAGAAAGCGTAATTTACCTTTCTTCACTTTTATTTTTTTATAAAACCTTAAGCGAGTTGATCAGACCAATCAGAAATCTTGTTAAAATGTTCGTGTTACTGTTACACAGATGAAAATATTGATCAAGATTGAATAAAAGAAGCCTTTTATTTTTCGTTACTTATATATGCAGTATCAAAATGTAAAAACAAAATATATAAATTAAAAAGTTAATTTAATTCGGTGCTATGCGCGCCGATTTAATTTCTTATCAATTAAGAATTGTAGAATTGTGGACTTTATACGACAATCAAAAAATGAAGATAATCAATACTTGGGTATCTCTCTAAAATTCATTTTTGTGGTATTTGTAGATTACATCACGAATAGTTAATGATCTTTCAAACATTTCGATCTTCTAGAGAATTGAGTTAATTTTTTATTAGTTTTAACTCAGATAATCGCCTTTACAATTATCCAATTGATCTAATTAATTATCGCAAAGACAATTTTCTTATAATTTTTTTTAACGTGGCTTCGTATGTTTTGGTTATTTAAATCGTTTCGTATTTTTATATAATTTCACTGTCTATTTTAGACAATCTAATAATTAGCGGAGTATAGTATTTAAAATGCAGAATTTTGTATCTATAAGGAAATATTTAAGTAAACGCGCAACTATATTTATAGATGTATATGAATATATACAGGATTATAAATCTTCAAATGTTCTCTTACGTTACATACGTATATAAAAGTACGAGTAGAATATCTGTTGGATTGAACGGACTCGCAAAAGGAATCGCGTGAGCAAGTAAACCTCGACAGAACTAAATTACGGCAAAATAAATATTTGTACAATTTCGTAAAATGTGCAAACTGGACGTTAGATTACTGAGCTTGTGCCAAAATGAAATCCGCTTGTTATGGTCTCTTCGAAAATTCATGTCTATATATATATATATATATATATGCAATTATAATACGTATGTAATGTTCTTACGTGCCGCTGTTGTTCTTTAAGAGAATGAATGCGTCAGAGGTTACATATTACCATAACGTCATCTTGCGTCACAATAAGAATCATCCGATGCATTATAACAGCGCCATAGTAACGACGTAATTCTAAACTTTGACTATATGTACAATTCAAGCATGAGACGCGGATCTTCTAAATATGACACCATATGCACACATTGTTAAATGCGTCTTTGAATATAATACACTTAAATATTATCGTCCTTTTTGTCGTTCTCGAGCAATTATATAATAAGAATGCACGTAGAAACACTACATGTCTATATGTCACTATTATAACATCATAGAAATCTTCGCACGCTACAAAAGTATTACTAATCCTGATATTTCCTAATAGGAACTTTCAATACAATTACGTACTATATAACATCGCAAAAATGACGGTACAAAACTAGAAATATTTACTGTACACAATCTTTCATAATATTTTCATATTCTATATGTATCTTTTTCTTATTCCTTTTATTCTTTCTATCTCTTGAGAAATCTTTCAAACATTTCAATCTCGAAGTGATATTACTTGGGACAGAATTCTACTCGTAATTTTATATACGTATGTAACGTAAGAGAACGTTTGGAGATTTATAATCCTGTATACATTCATAATATACATTTATAAATATAGTTGCGCGTTTCTTTAAATATTTCCTTATAAATACAAAATTCTGCATTTTAAATATTACACCCCGCTAATTATTAGATTGTCTAAAATGGACAGTGATATTTTCATATTTACAGATATTTATAGATGTATACGAATGTATACAGGATTATAAATCTTCAAACGTTCTCTTACGCCACATACGTATATAAAATTACGAGTAGAATTCTGTCCCAAGTAATATCACTTCGAAATACTTCGTGTAACGTAACAGATAAGAAATTATTTTATCAACAGTATATTCCTTGATACAGAACGATAGCTTTCTAGAGATTGAATGTTTGAAAGATTTCACATGAGATAGAAAGTGATAGAAAGAATAAAAGAAATAAAAAAAAGATATATATAGAATATGAAAATATTATGAAAGATTGTGTACAGTAAATATTTCTAGTTTTGTATCGTCATTTTTGCGATGTTATATAGTACGTAATTGTATTGAAAGTTCCTATCAGGAAATATTAGGATTAATAATACTTTTGTAGTGTGCGAAGATTTCTATGATGTTATAATAGTGACATATAGACGTGTAGTGTTTCTACGTGCATTCTTATTATATAATTGCTCGAGCACGACAAAAAGGACGATAATATTTAAATGTATTATATTCAAAAACGCATTTAACAATGTGTGCATATGGTCTCATATTTAGAAGATCCGCGTCTCGTACTTGAATCGCACACGTGGCCAAAGTTTAGAATTACGTCGTCACTATGGCGCTGTTATAATGCATCGGATGATTCTTAATATGACGCGAGATGACGTCATGGTAATATGAAACCTCTGACGCATTCATTTTCTCAAAGAGCAACAGGTGATAATTATCGTAGTGGCACGTAAGAACATTACATACGTATTATAATTGCATATATATATATATATATATATATATATATATATATATAGACATGAATTTTCGAAGAGACCGTAACAAGCGGATTTCATTTTGGCACAAGCTCAATAATCTAACGTCCAGTTTGCACATTTTACGAAATTGTACAAATATTTATTTTGCCGCGATTTAGCCTTCAAGTTCTGTCGAGATTTGCTTGTTCACGCGACCCCTTTTGCGAGCCCATTCAATCCAACCGATATTCTACTCGTAATTTTATATACGTATGTGACGTAAGAGAACGTTTGAAGATTTATAATCCTGTATACATTCATATACATCTATATAGTTGCTGGTAGTTAGTAGTTCCTTAAATATTTCCTAAATATAGTTGCGCGTAGTTAGTATAATTCCTTAAGTATTTCCTCATAAATACAAAATTCTGCATTTTAAATACTACACCCCACTAATTACTAGATTGTCTAAAATAGACAGTGAAATTATATAAAATTCCAGACGATTTAAATAACCAAAACATGCGAAGCCACGTTAAAAAAATTTACAAGAAAATTGTCTTTGCAATAATCAATTAGATTAATTGGATAATTGTGAAGGTGATTATTTGAGTTACAACTAGTAGAAATTTACTTTTAGTCCACAATTGTACAATTCTTAAAGATTTCTGATTGGTCTGATCAACTCGCTTAGTTTTCATAAAAAAGTAAAAGAGAAGAAAGGTAAATTATGCTTTCTCATAAAACTTCGGTTTTAGCGATGTTCACGCACTTCGATAAACAATTCTAGAACAATAACTAGAAACATTTTATTTCTAGAACAATAACTAGAAACATTTTATTTCACGAAAGTAATGTTCAGTTTCAAAGAAACTGAATCTTATGCTGGCGAGATATAATATTTCTAGTTATTTCTTATAGTTTCTTTGAAAAACAAAAATATACAAAATTTGTCTGTCGCTTTACAGTCAACTAATATAATATTTTTTGTACTCTATATAATCCTTTGTACAATGTATTAAAGATGAACGGAAAGTGTGCCCTGTCGCGAATATTGGGAGAACACTGAAAGGACAGCGGCTTGAAAACAAGGCATTCGCCTTCCGCGAACTGTCTCGAATTCGCGAACAAGAATAAACGACGTAATAAACACGAACGCGAACTTTTGTTTCGATGGCCTTGACCAAATTGCGATAAGTTTGGTAGCGACCGCACTTCGTATCCGATGTTCTCTAAATATGCCAAAATATACAATAGGCGAGGTCGAAAACTATTCGTTTCGCATTATAATGAAAATATACCGGAATAAAAATGATTTCAGAAATATATTTAGGAGATATATAAAATTTACGAGATGTGAAATACGATTATTTGAGATATTGTTACAGATTTGTGATCAGAAGGCACAAAAATTTCACGACGAGGACACGCTTGTACAAACATAAAAACCAACACTTGAATAATTGTAAATACATACCAAATTTACACAATCTCATTAACACTATATTTGATTGAATTATATGTCATACAACAAAAGAGCATTTCATCAAACGATTATTTTTTCTGTTTCAGCTCTTGATATCAGCTGATATACTTATTTATATAACTTCAAACGAAATATGAACTTTAAGCTCGTTTTAAAAACCGATAGATTGCGAGAAATGCGCATTATGTAGTAACATCACAACATTTAAAAACTGAATATTTTATAACAGCTCACATTATTGCCATCAAAGTAACTCTCCGAAAGCGTGGCTGAACGTTCGCGTTCGTGTTTATTACGTCGTTTATTCTTGTTTCGCGAATTCGAGACAGTTCGCGGGAGGCGAATGCCTTGTTTTCAAGCCGCTGTCCTTTCAGTGTTCTCCCAATATTCACGACAGGGCATACTTTCCGTTCATCTTTAATACATTGTACAAAAGATTATATAGAGTACAAAAAATATTATATTAGTTGACTGTAAAGCGACAGACCAATTTTGTATATTTTTGTTTTTCAAAGAAACTATAAGAAATAACCAGAAATAATATTTCTAGTTATTTCTTATAGTTAGAAATAATATTTCTAGTTATTTCTTATAGTTTCTTTGAAAAACAAAAATATACAAAATTGGTCTGTCGCTTTACAGTCAACTAATATAATATTTTTTATACTCTATATAATCCTTTGTACAATGTATTAAAGATGAACGGAAAGTGTGCCCTGTCGCGAATATTGGGAGAACACTGAAAGGACAGCGGCTTGAAAACAAGGCATTCGCCTCCCGCGAACTGTCTCGAATTCGCGAAACAAGAATAAACGACGTAATAAACACGAACGCGAACGTTCAGCCACGCTTTCGGAGAGTTACTTTGATGGCAATAATGTGAGCTGTTATAAAATATTCAGTTTTTAAATGTTGTGATGTTACTACATAATGCGCATTTCTCGCAATCTATCGGTTTTTAAAACGAGCTTAAAGTTCATATTTCGTTTGAAGTTATATAAATAAGTATATCAGCTGATATCAAGAGCTGAAACAGAAAAAATAATCGTTTGATGAAATGCTCTTTTGTTGTATGACATATAATTCAATCAAATATAGTGTTAATGAGATTGTGTAAATTTGGTATGTATTTACAATTATTCAAGTGTTGGTTTTTATGTTTGTACAAGCGTGTCCTCGTCGTGAAATTTTTGTGCCTTCTGATCACAAATCTGTAACAATATCTCAAATAATCGTATTTCACATCTCGTAAATTTTATATATCTCCTAAATATATTTCTGAAATCATTTTTATTCCGGTATATTTTCATTATAATGCGAAACGAATAGTTTTCGACCTCGCCTATTGTATATTTTGACATATTTAGAGAACATCGGATATGAAGTACGGTCGCTATCAAACTTATCGCAATTTGGTCAAGGCCATCGAAACAAAAGTTCGCGTTCGTGTTTATTACGTCGTTTATTCTTGTTCGCGAATTCGAGACAGTTCGCGGGAGGCGAATGCCTTGTTTTCAAGCCGCTGTCCTTTCAGTGTTCTCCCAATATTCGCGACAGAGCACACTTTCCGTTCATCTTTAATACATTGTACAAAGGATTATATAGAGTACAAAAAATATTATATTAGTTGACTGTAAAGCGACAGACAAATTTTGTATATTTTTGTTTTTCAAAGAAACTATAAGAAATAACTAGAAATATATCTCGCCAGCATAAGATTCAGTTTCTTTGAAACTGAACATTAACTTTCGTGAAGCGTGGCTGAAAGAAAACGAGCAGCGTGTAAAGTAAATCTGAAAAACTTGTAGTTTCAATAGTGAGATTTACAAAATAAGATGCAACATCGAGATGGATAAACTGTTTAATCGTCGAAACGTTTCGCTGAACGTCACAGTGAAAAATAAATAAGAATAAATTATAACGAGGAAACAGCGACCAATGAGCATTTTATCGACTTTTTAAGATATAAATATACCAATTCCTCTTTATAATTTATTTTCATTCATATTTTGTTTGAAGTTATATCAATAAATATATTATATAACTAGATATCGAGAGCTGAAACAGAAAGAATAATCGTTTGATAAAACGCTCTATTGTTGTATGAGATATAATTCAATCGAATATAATATTAATAAGATTGTGTAAATTTTGTATCAATAAATGTATAACATTACGAGGAATTCAAGAGTTTCCTCGAATCTTATCTTATCTAAATATACCATGAAGTTCGGTACTTTAAACTTTCGAAACACAAATGATATATTTGACTGTGCGTTTTATTATGATTCACGAAAATACGAATATTTCTTTACTTTGGTATGCTAACACGCTGAATCGTTTCGCCCGATTTAATTCGCGTAACTCGAAGTACGCTTAAACTGCTGGTTCTAAATCAAACCTCATTTTCATCAGCACATTCTATACAACTGATTCTACCGCGAGTAAATAAAAGCGGTATAAAACTAATTACAAAATTAACTTTGGTTTTCGTTCCAAAACTAACGTTTCTCAGCGTAAATGTGAGATTGCACCAAATGTTGTCAGCATATATATATATATAGGCATAAGAGTTAAGTACAAAAGAGAATTACTATACGCGAATAATATCCTAGAGTTTATGACGGTTCGTCATAAACTCTAGGATATTATACCATCCGTCATAAACCAATGTCCAGTTGTTGCCATTCGTGCATGCGAATATAGTCCTTTTCCAGCAGGTTGATACGATTTCAGACTGGTCGAGAACTTCTTATTCTTTCCTAGGAACAGGTTTATTGGTTTTTTTACGTATATTTATTTGTTCATTGAACATGATCACGAACAATGGAATCATAAAGAAAAAAATATGAATATGTATTGGTAGTTTTCTAAAATTCAAAACAAAATATATTAGATCATATTAAATAATATAAAATAAATTAGAGAACCACAGTATTTGTGTTATTAGTTTAATATTTTTATTTTGTTTATCTATATGAGTCGAAAAGAAAATATCTTTTTAGCTGCTATGTACAAAAAATTGTTACAATTTTGTGCTAATCAGGTGATTAGCTGATGAAATATATTTTTCACGGATCGGATTCATTCTTTTTAGAATGAGAACATTGTCCGTTCGTGAACATTGTGTATCCACTTACTTTCCACGACGCTTGCCCACTGAATTCCTCAGGAGTTTGAAGGCGTTCGCCGTGCTTATAGAATTAGGGTTGTAAGGACCTTTTGGACAGTATTTGACGGTATGGGCTACGTCACCGCACGCGCCGCAGATTGGACACGTATAAGCCCTGTTGAATGTCAAGAAAGGGAATAAATTTCTTATTTTGACGAGGTATACGAAGGCTCGTAAGAAGATACCGAGTATCGAATTTCCGGAAAATCGCTTAAATTTTCGCTGAGAGGTTTCGTGTGTCGTAAAACATCTTAAAATGCCTCAGATTTAAAGAATACTTGAGAAGCGCGCCGAGTGGAACACGAAACCAATATGTATCCATCCTTTCTTTCGCCTCTATAGTTATAAATATTATTCGAAAAAAATTACTCAGAAATCACGCAAAGAAAGCAAATTGATAGAAGAGTAGCTTTCATCGTTAGTCCGCGATACTCGGTTCTTTTCACATATATTATTTCTATTATATATAATATTTGAGACTGATTTATTACAGATAATATTTTAGATGTGTAGCCATGTATTCTCTCTCGACGATTGTTAACATCGCGACCGTGAAAATACATTTACAGACAAAATCCTCAAACTTGAATCTTGCTTCGCAAGAATTTATAGGAAAACGTAATAAAATTGGTGTGAAACAAACACAATTTTTACCTGAGAACGGGACACAGAATACGACCGTCGACATCTTTCAGCAGATGCTGTCGATAATAAGTTTCTTCCTCACCATTGTTTCGACAAAAAACGCATTCGGTAGGTAGAGGCTTCTTATTCTTCTTTCGTCGTGGTGTGATATGTTTCGTTATTTCTGGATCTAAATCGGGACAATACTCAAAGTCACGGCCGTTGTGCCGAAATTCTTCCATTATGTCGTCAACTGTAGTTAATAATTAAATGTTATCAATAAATCGCGGCGCAATAACATTTGTTATATCAATAAAAAAAATAATATATCGAAATAAACTACGAGCGTATCATAAAAAATGATATATAACAGCATTATATATCATATTTAATATATATATATATATATATAATAAATTATACATATATATTACAAAATATTATATTTGTCTGTTGCTAACTATTTAATAAAGTACAATAATTTTATAACTTTTATAATTTAACTTTAATTAACTTTTAACTTTTATATTTGATTTATATATAACTTAATAATTTTATATATATTTTATAATTCACAATTATTGATAACATTGATCATCGATAACGAGGGATAAGAGGGATAATATACAGCGAAAGCACAATACAGCGTATAATATTAATAATTTTTCCAACACGATAAATCTGTTAAGAGAATAAAACGAGAGAAAAACAGGGAACGTTAGAGAGAGAAAGAGAAAGAGAGAGCCGGGAGAATCTTTTGCTCTCACAGCTTCGAAATCGTAGTTTCAGGTCGTCCTCAGTGCAGGCAGAGACGAAGAGATTATACGTTAGATAAGCCATGATTTGTAAACACACGGCTGTTTTGAGAACTGGCGGCTTTACAAAGATACCATAACTACGTGATATACTTTCGTCGAAATACTTGGTCGTCGCTATCGGAGATATCGCGAAGGAATCGAGCGCGATATAAACAATCCTTGCAACAATGTGAATAAGTTTCTCGTCTCCTTGTTGATAAAATACGCCATTCGTCTTGTTACCCGAAAGCTCGGCGGTTTCCACAAAGAGCGGCGGCGGCGACGCGAAGAAACACGCGCGAGATGCGAGGGAAGATTAGCGCTCGCGGTGCGCTTTTTCACAAAAGATCGCTCGAATGCATGCGCGACTGAGAGAGACATCCGTATTTGTTGCCACGTTCAATGTCAAGTTCCGATAGCACTCGCTCGGAGAGTACTGCCTCGGAAAAATTCTCAGTAGTATTATCCTCCGGTACGAAGTTCTTTTCTTCTTACACGACTAGTCCAGATCGAGAAAACTCGTATGCAACGCGTTGAAACATGTCAATTGTTGAAATCAAATCAACTGTTTCGTCATAATTGTATCAGACGTTGCAAGTTCATACGGACAAGTTGCACAAGTTCCTGACGAACTCTATATGTTACTTCCTTAGATATCGAGTCGAAATTCTTGTAAAATTACGCGAAGCATTAAAGCTAATCGTTGGTTAACGTACGTATAATCACCACAACGACATCTATTTCTCTCCGACTTTACTATCTACGAAAGTTGGGTATTGAAATCGTGTTCTTTTCCAAACAGCGATGACACATAAATATATCGAAACATATACATTGAGCTCGCAAATATTCCCATCGGGAGTGCGAAGACTGTCTCAATCCCACCATTGCTTTGTATCGACTCGAAACAAACGTTACTCATCGCAACCTTTAAGTCCAAAATTGACTTTCAGGTAGAGCACATGTCAGATAATCTCAAGATCCGGTTCTTTCTGGAAGTTTCGAGTCAAACGAATCCAGACCGAGCTGAAAATATAACTGTGCGTCGTATTTCGAAAAATTCCGGATATCGCTCGATATTATTCCGATAGACATTTTTTACGAGTGATTAGACAAAGAACGAGATAGTTGAGTGGTGGTCGTGCGAACACGACCGTACAGAAGATTTACACGTTCAACTCACCGTTTTGCTGACAGTCTTTCGCGTTGTTGACGGCGCAGTTATCAAACAGCCGCTTCATCTCGTCCTCTAGGCTAGGATTGAATGGGAAAAAAGAATTCGACACTTGTAGAGTTGGCAACATAATGTATGAGAGCATCATCTCCATGTGGTCGGACGATTTTCACAATTACGAGTCGGATGACTCGTTTAATTAACTATAGATACGATGCCTTTCAGTCGTGATTTTAAATATATCCACGTATCTACGTATATATATTTATATACAAATGTTCGCCGTGTAACGTAAAACAATGTGCGATTGCGTGACGTGACTAAAACATAACCAACCACTCTCCTTCGCGTACAAACAGCAACTAAACTCGGCGCAGAAAGAGCGAGAATATTACCGAATAACAGATAGCTGCGCGAAGCGTGGAGGTGGTAATGAGGCAAACGCAGGGAGTAGGAGGAAAGCTTTCTGTCACTCGGAAGCAGAATCTGATTGGCGGATATTTTTAGTCTTATCAGTATCTGAAAGCACAATCCAATCAGACGCGAACACCCTCTGAGCGCTCGGTGAAAAGTGCAGTAGCAAGTGTAATTAATTCTCTTCATGCGTACTTTATAAACTCGGGTCTGGTCCACTTAAATGCACCGATGTTACGCTCAAACCTCCTTGTTCCTCGACTCTTTAATGCTCGATTACGTACTTATTTGATTCTGAAAGAAGGAAAAGAGTGCAACTCTAGATTCAGTTATGACAGGCCTACTGCCTTGTGATAGGTGAGTTCAAATATCCTTCCATTGGACTTGCAATATGGAACTTGCGCAGAAGATATTTGTCACGTCTACGTAACTAGAGTTACCACTAGACAATCCGCCGAGTATCAGCGGCTCACCTGGTGCCATCTAGCGGCGTCAGAGTTGAAACGTGGTTCGAGTTTCAACTAAATAGAGTTGGAATTTCGTCCAAGTGATTCCGGCACATCGGGATCTAGACTCGTTGTTTTGAAATTAGACTCTTAGCGTTTTATACTGACTTGCGTTTGGATCGCTTCGAAAGCGATTGACTCGTAAAATCATAAAAAATCTGTCTTAAGTTATATTGTTACTTATGTCAAATTACCGTGTTTATGAAGGCTGACATGATTACCGACTGCGTTACTTTTAACGGATCAATCACAGTGAGACGCCGACTGACTGGATTGGCTGGCTCGATTTTAGATTCCAGTCTACTTCGAGTCGATCGATTCAATTAGTCGATGTCTCGTTGTGATTAGTTCACTAAAAGTCGGCAGTCAGGTTGGTCTTCAGTCAGTCAGTCAGTAATCTGAAACGAATTTAAAACCGAAGACTCTCATTTTCAGATATTGTCTAAAAGTTAAATACACACTTTCATGCTACATGCATTAAATTAAATTATTCATTATTAAATTAAGAAAACAAAGAATAAGTGTCATCGATCATAGAAAATATACCAAATTCAGTGGGCTGTAATCAAGGCAAAACCAATAATAATGAGATGATTCGAGAAACTTCTTGCAGCTTGAAGATTCCAGTTTTCGGCATGTTATAAGATATTTAGAATAAAATTAAACGATCGCTTAATCTTATCTGGCAGTTAAGTTCTCATATCAAAATTTTATTTCGATATATTTTAAAAAACACTCTGTAAGAAATATCGCACTAAAATCTGCGAAAATTGAGGAAAAGGGTATGTTGATATAATTCTTGCCTGAAGTTTCGCTCACATAGTAAAACTTAAACAAAAATGTTGACATTGACGAATCTCGACTAATATTCGTGTAGCACTGTAATTAATAAGTAAACATATCGGAGAATTTCAGAAATCTCAAATTGTGCAAAACAATATATTACAAACGATCTCATTATTAGCATTTTGCGCTGTAGTCATAGTTTGTCGAATCTATTGTTCTTAATTGAGAAAATTTTTCTTCCAACTGTTATATAATACATTTTTAAGTAGTACGACTCGATATTGGGTTAGAAGAAATTTTATTCTTTGATTTCCAGATATTAGATGGCAAAGAATGAAAGAGAAAGAAGAGAGAGAGAGAGAGAGAGAGAGAGAGAGAATCCTGAAACGACTGAAACAAGCCAGGTAATTTCACTAATCTTCATCTTTATTATTACTGTGTAAATATGTAGGCACTGAACAAATAATGTTTCATAATTTGTTTACAAACATTTACACTTACTGATCTCCTTTTGTTCAATCAATGAATATTCTTCGCGAGAGCCTTCCTCGATCGGTCGAGGTTGCTTCCACCTATGCGTATGTCTTCACCGTCTATAATACCCGAGCCTTAATAATTCTCACGGCAAATATACCGGTGTCGTCCTGGGCATTGTATGCGCACGACCCCATTTTCTAAATCGCGATCTCAATAATTATTTTGTCAATATGTATATATATATATATATATGTGTATGTATATGTATATATATATACTTCACTTTTATGTATGTATATTTTAATCTCTATCCGCTAAATATATTGTTCTTCTAAGACTAAAAATTACCATGATTACTTTAAAGGTAAATATATATATATATATATATACACACACACACACACACACATACACACACACACCACACACACACACACATACATATATATATATGTATATATATATATTTATACTTTAGAGAAATCATAATTAAAATTAATGCAATTATGATGTAACATATCAAACATAGCATATGTATATATATATATATGTATATATATTTGTTTATAAACGTATATATACATATATATGTACACACATACTAGAAAGATGGATGAAGGAGAGAGGAAGGAAGGGAAAGGAATTGGAGATGGGTGAGAAGAGATATTATAAAGATAAAAACGCAAATTCTAACTTTGGCTAAGAAGCGACATTCCGTGTTTCAAGAGCGCGACGTCGGCTCCTCTCTCTCGACTCAAATCCGTTATCGCACTCTTTAATTTCGAAATATCGGACTAAACGAAGAGAAAATTGATACAAAATCTTTAGGGATAAATGAGCTCGTGAAGATGCGTGTCGTGTGTCCGTGTATAGTGTCTATGGCTGTACACGTGTGGTTTTTTTGTGTATAGGTGTGTATGTGTGTACAGTGATCGTCCATCGGTGAAAGAATGTAACTTTACACAGGGTTAAAGTAATTTGAAGTATTATCGTCTAGTCGCTTCAGCCTTTTCTGTGTCTCAGGTATAAAACTAAGGGGGGCGGCCAGCTAAGCCATCTTGTAAAACTATATTCATATATTTTCTCTCTCTATTGCGCTCAAGTGTGTGATAAACCCTAAAAATGTCCTTAAACACCTCAGGCAGGTCGACAGGTTTGACTGTTCGTGCGTGTTATACATGAGACACTCCGTAACCAGCGTATTATCCAACAAAACGTGCGAACGCGGATGTGACGTCGTATCACCGATGATGATGATGATGATGATGATGAAGGTGACGATGGTGATGATGATGATAATGAAGGTGACGGTGATGATGATGATGATAATAATGACGGTGACGTTGATGATGATACCGATGATGACTTGTTGGTGATAATGATAGCGATGATGATGATGATGATGATGATGATGATGATGATGATGATGGTGATGGTGCGCGCGCGTAATGTCGTCAATGAATTCACTTGCATTAATTTAATGATCATTCCGTAATGTCGATGTCGCGGTGGTCCGTTTTGGAATAGCTATATATATATAATTATTATAAATATATTTATATGTATATTTTATATATATATATATTTATATTTATATATGTATAATAGGTCCATGCGTATTTTTTTCTTCCGTTATGCGCGTGTAATGCAACGTGTAATGACAATGAAGAGCGTGTATACTAGGAATGTACATAGTGTACGAAGATATTAATTAGGTTGTGTATAAAACGATGATACATACTATTACTCGTCACTCGTTTTTATATCAAACGACACAATTAATTATGATATCGATTTTTTTAGTCTCATGGTACGACGACCGCGTCTTAAAATGCGCGGCATCGTTCGCCAATAGGCTATAGTCTTGTCCTGTCGCACAATGTAGTCGCGATCACGCATCCGCTAACTCTCCCTCTCTCGCACTCTCTTTTTCTCTTTCTCTCTCTCCCTTTCGCCCGTCGCGTAACAATAATGCTGCACCCGGTGCGTGCTTATGATACAAGAACTCCTCCAAATGAATGGCCATCAGTCTTTGAGTGTACGATTTGGCATACACGCGCTTTTAAAGGCGTCGCTCTACACGCGTCTCGAGTCAGAGTCGAGAGACTGATACATTTTGTACTTTAATAATAACTCGCGGGCACTCTCGTTAAAAAAAGCAAATTTTTTTTACACGTATATATCTTGGATAAAAGTAGAAAATATATAAGGAATATACGTCTCAATACAAGTGTATATGTGTGTGAGTGTGTATGTAACATTACACACACACATACACACATATATATATATATGTATATATATCGTCGAGATAAATTCTATCAAAAGATCTGCTTAGCTTCGTATTCATATAATAAACTTAAAAAAACTTGAACTAACATAGTGTATATAATAATAATAAAATAATAATAACAAAGAATTAAAATAATTCCAATAAGATTTGAAATGGTTCTCATTTGTTCCATGGCTCTCATGTGGATTCTCAAAAACATGACCATCCATTTGGGACAATTTGTATGGATCATTATTATTAAATATTAATACTTCTAGTCGTATACTCTTGCTAGAGTAAAAGTGGTCTCACGCGTCCCAGATAAACCTATCCGGACGCCATAGGCAAATACAGAGTGTTTCAGCGCATGTATTTCTGCTTCCTTGATATGCGATAGATACTAATCTAACAAAACTTGTCCTTACATTTCTCACATTTGGTATGTTTTAGTCTTATTTTACTTTAAAAAAGAAAAAAAAAGAAAAAAGAGAAAATATATAGAAGAGAAAAAAAGAGAGAAGTTGCTATATCTCTTGCTTAATACGAAAGCTTAATATATGAGACGCAATGAGTCTGATGAAAATATTAAATTAAACAGTGAGGATGAACAGATCTTTTCCTTTCTTTTCTCTGCCGGTATTTCAGGAGATACACAAATAAAATTATTCTAAACATGCGACGTGTGTTGCTGCGTATAATATAAAATGATATATGTATATATACGATAAAAAGTAACCGAGTCGGAGCACTCGTAAAGTAATCGGAAAACCTCGCTCTTTGCGTCCAATGGCAAAATGATATCTCGTTAAATATACAAAGTAGACTAAAGAGAGTACTTCATTCGTCCGATAAGTTCGATCGGCGAGTCTGCCGAAAATACTTTCTCTCGTAGAGCCCGCAAACGTACAACTGTGTGTGTGCCTGTGAACGTATGTGACTGTGAGCCAGCGATTGTGTGTGTTTGTGTCCCACGTGTTTCACTGAGTGCGCCTCACACTTAATCGAGAGTTCTCTCGACACTTATCTCGTTACACTTCTCTCCCTTATTTTTGTATTTTTCTCCTGCCTTTTTTTTTTGCATTTTTTTTTCGTTTACCTTAGTAGTCAGTCGACTTCGGGGTCCGTTTTTAAAGAGAGTAGGTACATATACATTACGCATTCGTGATACAAAGAATGCGCGACTCGAAGTATTTTCTCCGTGCTATTATCATACACCGTCATATTTACACATTTTGCGATACAGCCGTCCCCACTCGCTCTTTCTCGTCACACACTCAAGTTCCCGACGACGACGACGACGACGACGACGATGACGACGATGAGATGCACGCCCCGTATGCCTCCGCGACTTCTCTCACGGCTTCGCGTTTCGTACTTCAGATTGCTCGTTCGTTCGGATTACTTTACAAGTACCCCCTCCGCGATAATAAATCCTCTCCAATGCAACTAAGTCTTATATCATCGAAAAATATCATCGGAGATACCTCTACTATACTATTAGTTCTTACTTAGTTTTACCTTCAGCGAACAGGAATACTCATTTCCAGTCAATGTCTCATGGAGTACGGTTATTCTAATATGGATCTTTATACATACATGCATCACACAACGCGCGTGCGTGTACGCATGTATATATTTATGTAGCACGCGGTTAGTCTGGTTTTCCACTTGCTCATCTAACTTAACGTAGACACCGCGCGCTTTTGTGTGTACATGTATGTGTGTGTGTGTGTGTGTGTGTGTGTGTGTGTATGTGTACATGGTGTGTATGTGTGTGAAAGCTTACGAAGAAAGTAAACTAAACGGAATCGCGTGTTGGTATGTACCAACAAGGCATTTTTCGATAATGCTATTTCGATATCGACCCCTTTGCTTTTTACAACGAGGATCCAAAGATTGCACGACGTAAAAGAGTCATTCTACAGCTTCTGCTTCTTCTTCTTCTTCTTCTTCTTGTTTTTCTCCTTTTCTTTAAAATAGTGCTCGGACACACACTTCTCGTGCCAAATAATATTAATTTTTATACCTCGCTATTGCACCAATATTTACAATGGACGTTTATATTTCGTATTTGTCTCATTAAACGAATCATCTTTGATATCAATCGGCGATTATCGTTCAAATAAAAGCTACTAAAAATGTTCCTTCTCCAAAAGAAAGGAAACATCTCGCATATATAGCTAATGTTTCTAAAATGTTCCTACGCTACGTTTAGAGTTATATACTGGTATAAAAAGAGAAAGAAAATAGAATTGTACCATTTTAAGCGCAGACAGACAATCCCGTAAACGTTCCGAATACTCAAAAAAGGCAGTCGTCGCGGTTTTTCGAGAACTCTCTTCCTCTGATGCGACGTGCAGACTCGTCGCCGCTTGCGAATGTCTTCGCTTAATCTTAATTGCCTGGCCTGTTTTTAAAATCGAGCTTGGCCGCGCTACACGACGTCCGTGTCGAAACTCCAAAAAAGATACGATAACTAGGGATGGGACTGAGTTCAATAATGTTCTCTCGCGTGTGTCCACAACTCGCGAGTAACTATACCCGATGCTATTGAAACAATTCCAACGACGCTCTCAGTACTTGGTCGGCAGACGCGAGAGTCAATTTCTGGAAAGAGCAGAGAGTCTCTTGAGAGTGTGCCTTGAATGTTCGTTCATTTTTATATTATAACTCGAAAGTACAAAAACTCGAAAAAGTCTCGAAAGTATTTCAAAGTGTTCCCATGATATCATAATACTGTTGTATCCGAGGACTCGCATTCTCTTCAGCGACGGCCGCGCGACACAGAATGCTTGAAGAATTTAAACCTTGCCATGTGACATTTCGTCATACTTAAAGGATACTGTGAGAGAACACGCCGCAGTACAATACGATCGGACACGGTACTACACTCGGGGACGCGATCCCATCCCTAGTAAAATGCGTAAAGGCGAAATCAATCTCGTCGGCGAATCGGTAAACGAAATCAGAGAGACCGGCATTTCGACCGCGTTAAGGCTCTTCTTCTTCTTCTTCCGTCACACATCGAAACGTTTTAAATCATAAACGATTTACTATTGGATGCTTTGCAACCCGACGAAGTGATGACGATTCTCTCGCACGCACTCGAATACTTTTCTAAATACAAATGTCCGTGGGGTTGAATACTATCTACAGAGTCGCCTCCCTCTCGGTAAGAATTCATGGTTTTCGTGTGACCCCTTCTCTTCGCGGCATCGCGACTTGAGCGCGAATTTGGACGCTCGTTCCAATAGTACACGCTTTTATGATTTAAATTCCCACGCGCTCTCACCTAACACCAAACTGAAAACGCGCTCATGCATCCTAACGACGATCGCACGAGGAACATCTACGTCGAAGGACCGTCACCCCTCACACCGTGGTGTATTTACTATGATGGATCTACTTGTGGTGAATATATTGTCGCTCTTTACGTGCTACCATACAGACACATGCGGCAGAAAATAGTCTAGGCATTCTTTTGCGATAATACATCTCTACATCGTTATTCAAAAGGAACTTCGATTGAACTTTTTTTTTTTTTTATTATACGCTTTTCCCTTTCTGTTTCCTTGCTCTTAATCCTTTTTCTCACGAAGGCCAAAATCGCGCGTACATGCGCACACGCGCACACGCACGCACGCACGCACGCACGCACGCACGCCACCGACGTAGATCGAAGCGAACCGATTCAGAAGTAAAACGGGAGAAATTTCAACGTCAACAACACTCTGGTATACTAAACTCCTCGAGGGGTCGGGGAGCGGATTTCGCGCGACATTAACACTCTTCCTTCTTCATCAATCTGGAAAATACCGGCGGGCCGTGGTCGCGTCCGCGAGAATCACGACCGACTCGAAGGCACGACGAAGCGTACGCTTGTCTCCATCTTTCTTCCTTTTCCTCTCTCTCTCTCTCTCTCTCTCTCTCTCTCTCTCTCTCTCTCTCTCTCTCTCTCTCTCTCTGTCTTTTTCTTTTCTTCTCTGTCTCTTTGCTCTCTCTCTCTCTCTCTCTCTCTCTCTCTCTCTCTCTCTCTCTCTCTCTCTCTCTCTCTCTCTCTCTCTCTCTCTCTCTCTCCCTCTCTCTCTTTCTCTCTGTTCGTTATGCGGCGATTCGCACGCTTTGTGGCGGCACTTCCGTTTTGCTGGGTCTGAGTCGGCCGTACGCCAGAGTTTTCGCTTCTCTCCGTGCCGACGGCCAGCCACGGCCCTTCCTAATCGTCAACGACCGATTACACGCGAGAGATTGTCTAAAGCTACTCTTTCGAAGTACGAAGTCCCGCGCGTGTGCGGGATGTCGGCGCCCTAGCGCGACGTCGGCGCGAGGCAACGGCGAGGCGATGACGATTCGCAGGAGCTGTCGCCCTCCTTTCTTTCTCTCTTTTGCCTCTCTATTTCAAATGAAAATTCGTGAGAAAGCGAGTAAACACGTTGGAATAGAAACTGCGCGGGCACAGATCGGACCTGTAGCTGGCGCTCGGTGGTGCTCGCGGGTTCGCTGGTGTCAGATACGGTCTGAATAGTTAGGGTTTGCTGTTGTCGTTGCTCAGGGACAACGGGTCGGCGAGTTTCTGTTGCTGCTGTTGCTGTTGCTGCTGCTGCTGGCTGATTTCGCTGACAGCGCCGCCGCTCATCAGTTTCGCGTTGTTGTTCTCCGTGTTGGATACCTTCGTGTAGTCACGCTTGCGCAGCATGTTCTCGGTCTTGACGATCGTGATGTCCGGATTGTTCTCGAGCACGGACGTCGCGGCCTTCGGCACCGCCGTCGGCACCTCGATGTAGCCGCCACCTTCGCGCTTGATCGGCGTGGTTGTCGTCAGCGTCGCCGCGGTCGCGGCGTTCGCGTTGATCTTCTGCAGGATGTCGTTCACCGACTCGCTGTTCTCCGTCGGCTCGTTGTTGCCGTCGATGGTGCCGGGCGCCGGCCCGTCGCTGGTTAAGAATACCCTGTCCGAACCCTGCAACGTCGCCAGGTACGTCGCCAGTGTATGGACGGTCACGTTGAGGATTTCGGCGGCGCGAAACAACGTTATCTCCTTCCTCCGCAGCTTCGCCAGCACTTCGGCAGGGCCCGGCTCAGACCAAAAATCCCGCACTCTACAAGTATAAATTCCTCGCCAATTCTTGGTGAAAATCGCGTCCCCCGCTCGATGCCGACTCGGTTTTTCAACTTATAACTTATACATTTCTTCGCCCGCGCGCTTCTAATGCTTTAGATTTACCGAGTATTTACGATCGTCGCGCGTGTCCGTTACCTGTACGGGTGTTTAAGGCAACCGTAACTGTCGCGATATCTGCCATAGAGGGTGCCGTAAGAGACGCCGAGTATCTCAGCGGCAGTCTTCATCTCCAGTTCTTTGCTCTTGATCGCGTCCATGACGCGTCGTGTGAACGGCTCCTCCCAGAACTCCTGCCTGCGACCCGTCGTCAGATAATCGTTCATCTTTATCACGTCTCGGAATTGCTCGGGGATCGACGGATTTGTGGCGTTGGAGTTTGACGGGGTGCTAGGCGCTGCAATCAGAGTATTACACAGTTGCGTTAAAACAAAGTGCGCTCGCTCACTCTCTCTCTCGTGTCCCCGCGGCGATGCGCACTCATATATCGAGCAACGAGAGAGGCGGCGCATCGCAGTCGGGCGAGAGAGAGAGAGAGAGAGAGAGAGAGAGAGAGAGAGAGAGAGAGAGAGAGAGAGAGAGAGAGAGAGAGAACACATTGTGAATCTACCGCTAAGGTGTACCTTTCTTTTCCTGATCAGATGTACTGTCATCCTTTGACATATAGGACAGCTGCAAAAGAAAAGCACGAAAGGCATCGTCAAACATTGCGAAGAATAGATGCGATTTTTTTGCGCAAAAATGTCTCTATTCGTGCCGATGACTGAACAAGTGCGAGAGAGAGAGAGAGAGAGAGGGGGGGGGGAGGGAGGGAGGGAGGGAGGGAGAGAAAGAAAGGAGAAAGTAGAGCGAAACTTCTCTCCTAATAAGAGTCGCAGAATGAATGATTTAATTACGCACGTACGTGCAAGTAGAGAGGATGCGATGGGAATGTATCTAAACGAACGGGCCTTACCACAGGCAGTGGCGTTTCGTTATTCTCGTTCATCATCACGTCGTCGTCCCAACTCTCATGGTCGCCGCCCTCGCTCATCATTTCCTCCTGGGAAAAGGTTCGACGTGACACATTAGAGTCGCGCGTGGTTAGTCCGTATGTGTAATACCCGCCGCGAGTCTGACAAAATTTCCGAATATCTACATTCACGACATGGGTCAGCGCGTGTGTGCTTCTTACAGTACTTGATTCGCGCGCAAGACTCGGTGCCGTCGCAGCGGCTGGAAGAAGCGAGCTCGAGACTGCGTCCCGCTTCCCGCTTCCTCGCCAATTTTATCGCGGACAAGTTGCGGAGGGATCTTCAGTTTCTTCGGACACTCGAGAAATTGGAACGTTAATTTTCCTTTTTATTCCCGAAATTGGAGAGATTGAGAAATTTTTTACTACCTTCTTACGACTGAAAGAAGTAGATTTTTCGTTTTCAAGATCGAAAGAACTGCGAAAGCAGCTGCCGTCCAAAGTGCACTCGCGACGATAAATCGCGACGAATAAAACGACGCGCATGGCGGCGCTCGCAACATTCCAAGCATCAGTCGCCGATCGAGCGAAATGAGCTGCAACACGAGGTGCCGCAGTCGCACCGAGCCTTACGCGTATGCACGAGCCATATGGCCCATACATAATGATAAGAAAAACAGAGAGAGAGAGAGAGAGAGAGAGAGAGAGAGAGAGAGAGAGAGAGAGAGAGAGAGAGAAAGAAAGAGATTCGAATTGCCTTGCGTACATTTCCGGTGATGCACGTGATCTTCGGTGTAAATACGTCGTGAGCCGAGGGTGGATCGTCCAGAGGCGGGCGACCTCTGCGTCTCTGCTTGGGGGGTGGCGGCTCATCGGCGTCACCTTCCCTCAGAACCGTCTCCACCCCCGGGGTCGCGGCACCGGGACTGTGGCCGGTGTTGTTGAGGTCGTTTTGCGCGGAATCGCTGCGCCAGCTGACCTCGGCGAGACCCTTGATGTGTAAATCCTCGGCGGTTTTCAGCAATGACGACAGCCTCGTCTGCGAAACGTAATCACTCGTCTCTAACGCGCTCCTCCTTCGTACTCGCGATCAACAGCGTGTCATTATTGTAATTATTATCCTTATCCTCCCCCCTCAGCGCGATACGTGAGAATAAGCGCGTCCTTTACCCGTCGGACATTGGCTCGTCTTGCCGAGGATGTCTTCGTTTACGGATAACGGCGGGGTCGTAACCGCGCCGTGTGTGCGCATATGAATTGCGCACCGAGAGCGTAATGGAAAAACGTTAAAACGATAATTACGGACGTCTGGCATTAATATTAACGGCATTAATAAAAAGCGCGTCAGTGGGGAGGGGGGGAAAGAGGGGGAGAGAGAGAGAGGGGGGGCGGGAAGATAAAAGAACGAGCGCTTCCTCCTCGACGAGCGGGAGAGACTGCGAGGTTGAAGCGGACGGAAGTGAGCCGGTGAGCGAGTTTTTCATTTGGAAACCGATTCTCCCTCTAATCGTATTCATCCACCGTGACTACGCTCCGCGAGTACGTCGAATTCATGAGGTTCTTTTGGAATATTTTATCATGCGGGATAACATCGCGCGCGCGGCAACGAGTCGAGACGAAGCCGAGCCGAGAGCGCGTTTATTCGACGATTTTTCAACATTCCCCGGCCGGTCATCGGACGACTGCGGAGGATTGTTATTAACCACCGCCGCCTTCACGATGGCAATTGTGTGCAAACGTCGCGAGGGGAGACGACGCGCAGCCCCTATTCTTCTCCTCTTTCTCATCTTTTGCGCCAAGTCTCAGCTGGCACACCTGTCTCTTTTCAAGTCCCGAAAGCGCACACCGGTTCTCCGGGGAAGAACAGGCCAATAAGAGAATGAGAGACGCAGCCCCGCGTCGTGTCGTGTCTCAGCGTCTTCCCGCGCTCGGACCCGCCGTGGATTTTTCCCCTCTCGACGCTCATCGTCGCTCTCGCTTCCTCCTGCGGGAACGCTTCCGCGTCTCCTCGGGTGAAAAAGGGAGCAGCACGGCGCGGAGAAACTCGCGCGACAAAACCGCATCGGGGAAACCGACGAGCGCGCGGCGTGCGGCCACGTATTACACCAGCGGCAACAACGGGGCCCCAATTATTATTTGCTAATTTTCACCGGCGCTGATGGCGAGCGTACTCGCTCGGCAGCGCGACCGAATGCTAAATAATATGGGAACTTTCTACAAACGGCGGCGCGCCGCGGCTTTCTATCGGCCACGGCCGGAATTGGAAAAATGCCTATGTGGGTCAGCGTCGCCGTCGCCGTCGCCGTCGCCGTCGCGAGCGCGGCGCGGGCGCGGGAATAATGTATTTCAGAAACCGCCGCTTTCGTTTCTCGCGCGGAAACGGCCGCGGCAAGAAAAGGGAGCGCGCGAGCGGGAGAAAAAAGCGCGCGCGTGACGCAAAGGTCTGAAATCCGAGGCCTGCATTGCGGCCCCTCCTTCCCCCCTCTCCCGCCCTTCGCTCGTGTCTAATCGATGCGCGATTTAGGAAACCGCGCGTCGCGATCTTTCCTGACAATAATCGCAAGGAATGCGACGTGCGCGCGTCGGAATTTTGCATCGATCGAAGCGCGCGTCTCGAGATATCGCGTGTGCGACTTCATGTCGCTCGCTCGGTCTCTCGGCGTAATTGATTAAATCCGACGTAATTAATCAGTTCAAGCAACAATCGCACGTCGTAATAGGACGAGACGACACGCGACTTTTCGCGCGTCTGCGTGGCATGCGATTTTCAGTCGCAGGAGCGATTTCGCGCGCCGCGACGGCAGATGAGAAAATCGCTCGTTGTTATCGTCGCAAAATCGCACGTCTCCACCGGCGTTCCACGATCGCGCTCGCCCACGACGCGAAAGAGCTTAAATCGCGGCCCCTCGACGTCCGCCGATCTGGGCCCCGGCGCGATTTTCACTCGGCGATTTTTCGCGCCCCTCCCCCCTCCCTCCCGCCTCCGGGCAGCTCGACACAAAACGTGCCGGAGAAAGCTCGCGAGCGCGATCCCAATCATGACTAGAAATCGGGAAGAATTCGCTGCCCCCTCTTCTACGGGAAAGAGAGCCGCGAGGAAACTGCGAGAGCCGGCAGACGAAGCTGCCAGAGACGCGGAACACGGACGTCGTCTTCGCGAATTTTGCAGGAGATTTGCCCCGGATAAGTGAGCCCGCCGAAATTAACGCGACGCCGTTTCGAGCCGAGCGCGCACGCGCGCACCGCGCCGAGAAGAAGTATAAATTCGATACCGCGCGAAGACCGCGAAAGGATACGAGGATCTCGAGAAGACCCGCGGAAACTTGGAAATCAAGAAGGCATCGAGTTATCATGATATTATTGCAATCCGCCGGAGTAACGGACGGGACAAAATACTCGAGATATCTCGTGAGAATCTCGGAAAAGCGCATTTTCCTCGAACGTACTTCGGGTAATCTTAAAGAGGAAGAAAGAGAAAGGAAAGGAGGGGGGCAGGGGGAGAGTAACAGAGAGAAGAAAAGGTAAAATCGAGAGTACACGAAAATATAATAATACCGCGAGAACAAAATGCTGCGGAGCTTGCTCTATATGTGTGTTTCGTTTTATATAATTAATAAAGCCAGCTGCGAGGAGCAGAGCGTAGCGGCATAAATATAAAGCGCTTGTGAGGATTATCTGCGGCTGTGGCTGTATTACTGCATTCGCCGAGCGAGCAGGGGAGAGCGACAGAGAGAGAGAGAGAGAGAGAGAGAGAGAGAGAGAGAGAGAGAGAGGGCGCGCGCGCGAGATAGAGAGAGCTTCCTTTAAATCCGCAGCGAAAAAGTCTCAAGGATCGCGGGGAAAACAATTAGCGAAATGCAAGAATTCGCGTGGATGCCAACTTGTCGTTCCGTACGGCTGATAAGTGATATACAGCGCGCCGCTTGGCCGCGTCGAAACTGTGAATAACGTATCTGTGTCGGTACTCTGCCGGAACTGATACTTCCACCGCGAGGTACAATGCCTCGTATCAAGCGTTTCAGCGGGGCTCGCATAAAATTCCCATCTCGAATTAAGTGCGTTCGATGAGAAATTTAGATTTCTCCCCGATTGTCCGTTCGCAAAATGGGATCTCCCCCCCCCCCTTGGAGAGTCTCGAATCACGGAGATGGTCTATTCTAAATTCCGTTATAAAAGACGCGCGATTGCAACGCGCGCGCGCGCGCGCACACAACGGTATCTTCTTCATCGATATCCCGGACTCAAACGCTATTGCGCTTTCTTATTTTTTGTTGATTTTCCCGACTGCGTGGAGATTTACCGCGACAAGTCGATATTCCCGACACGTAGCCGCGCGGCAGCAGCCGCTTGTCACAACACGTCCCGGTGTATTCGAAGCCGCGCGCGCGCGCGCCGCTCGTAGTCGCCGTCGCCGTCGTCATCGCGCGCGAGTGAGAGATGTTGACTTTTTGTAAGATAATAGGCCCCGTAAAGTTATCTCGTTTTAAACCATAGCCGTCAGAGCCGCGCGCGCACGCGCGACTGTTATCCAGGTGAAATTGTTGTTATTGGAAAAATGCTGAGATAGCCGAGGGGAATTGTCCCGGGGTTTTACTGCTTAACTTTATTTCACGGCGACGTAATAAAACGCCCGCCGCAAATGGCAACGTTAATGAGCACGGGAGTGAAAATATATCCTAAGATATACACACACACACACACACACACACACCTAAACGGCAGAGACTCGAGCGCTCGCCTCGAGAATATTTAATACGCTCGCGGCACCGCGGACGCGCGATACGCGTCCTGGTTTTGCGTTTCGCGTCTTTTTACCGTCTTAAAATCCCTCTCGTCATTTTCTATTTCCGCGAGAGTGTTTGCCTGATCTAGTCCGAGATATAATTGCCGTCGTTGCGGCGCGACGGCGTCTCCTCTTCGCGCTTTCATACTCATTAAATGTGGTAACTTGAGAAATGGTATCTTTTCAAATTACTGTAACTGCACGAAAAGATACGGCCTAAGAGATAATGAACGCTGATAATGCCGAACCGCGTGAAAAATGATACACTCAATGGAGCGAGATATATCCTCGACGCGAGGGGCTCCGTCGATTATTCATTCTTGAAAATTTCACACTTGGACGTCGTGAAATTGTCGCGACAATCGAATACGCGCCTTTTTCCTTAATCCGAGCGAGCATCCGCGAGTTGAAATTTTTATTCTACACTCTTGACCCCGCCGATACTCCACACACTACTTACGCCAATTTAATTTTTAATTTTAATTTAATATTCTGAAGGAAGTATCAATTTTATCCGTCATCTATTCCGACTCTATCTAATTATTAATTAATTCGACCTTGTCGAGAGATCTGAGAACTTACAAGTGGCAAATTGTGTACAAAACTTTAGTTTCTATATAAATTAAATCTCCATTGGTCTTCTGGAATTTATTGGAATCTACGGCTAAGGTCGAAAATGGAGCAAAATTCCGACTCGAGATTAGGGCAAATTTCAGCTTCCGCATTTCTCCTCCGAGCAATTTTCCAGCTATTTGCAGAGATTGATATCTCGTGTGATTTTTACTCTCTCCTAGAGCTCTCTGTCAAGGAACCGAAAGAAAATGTATACATTTCCTTCACGGGCGACACCAAATAATCTCTCAATTCAATTAGGACCACGATGATATACCGAGGATGAATCTCGCGCGACGGACGTGCGATTTCTCTTTCCTCCTCCTTGAAAGTTGACTTCGTGCAAGGATGAAAACTGCGTTTTTTTTTTTTTTAATATACGCGTCATGCGAAGCACGTTGAGATTAACGCGGCCACGAGGAAATTCCTCGCGGGCGGACCGCACGCGGAATCGCCAACGACGCCAGGCAGCCGGGCAGAGAGAGTACTTTTTGCAGAGGAAAAAACGGACACTCACGTGATCAATGTTGATCTCTCCCTTGTACATGAACTCCACCAGCACCTTGATGTCTGAGAATTTGACGTCACGCATGATGACGATGGGGTCCTTCTCCTCGTACTGCGATAGAATCGTGTCGAAGTATGTGCTGCACGCCGACAGTACAACCTGCGAACATGCGAGTCGACGATGCGATCGTTAATTAGCTGCCGAGCGATTTTATCTGCGGCACCGCGAAAGAGGTCCGCCATGTAAATATCAGCGCGACTTAAATTCCACATAAGTTACGCGCGAACGGCGATACGTGCGTGCGAGACGTCGCACGCACATACACACACACACACAGAGAAACGGCAAACGTGCCGCAAAATCGATCGCACATGCGTTGAGGTGCTGCTTTAACCTTCCGAGGACCGGAGTGGCTCCTGTAGGAGCCACTAAAAAACTCGAAAACTCTACGCGACATGATGGTTACATATATAAAGGATGTCCCAAAATTCACGCAAGAAGTAATTTTGTATAATATAAAACACAGGTTTATAATTAGAAATTGTAAATTTTTTTATTGATTCATAAAGTATACAGTATAGGGTTATGTGTGGAATAACATATCGGGTAAACGGCCACAGCGAAGAGAGTTCGTTGAACGGATTATGGAGCAACAACAAGTGGATACTGATTTTTCGAACAAAATCATCTTCAGCGATGAGGCTCATTTTCATTTTGATGGCTTGGTTAATCGACAAAATTGTCGCATTTGGGGCTCAGAAAATCCACGAGTGATCGTTGAGAAACAAACGCATCCACAACGTGTCACTGTTTCGTGCGGATTTTGGGCTGGAGGCATCATTGGATCATTCTTCTTCGAAAATGCGGCTGGTCAGGCAATAACAGTTAATGGTGCTCGCTATCGCGATAATCCAGTTTTTTGTGCCTAAATTGCAAGATATGAATGTGGACGACATGTGGTTTTAACAAGACGGTGCCACATGCCATACAGCCCGAGAAACAATTCAATTACTGCATGAGTCATTTCCTGGTCGTGTAATTTCCCGTTTTGGTGATCAGATCAGGCCGCTCAGATCATACGATTTAACGCCGTTGGACTTTTTTCTTTGGGGTTTCTTGAAGTCTAAGGTTTATGCCAGCAAGCTCACGATCACCCACGCCTTGAAGGAGGAAATTGAGCGCTGCATCAACGAAATTCAGCCACATTTATGCAAAACGGTCATGGAAAATTTCAACAAAAGAATGCATATGTGCCAGCAAAGCCGTGAAGGCCATTTACCCGATATGCTATTCCATACATAACCCTATACTGTATACTTTATGAATCAATAAAAAATTTACAATTTTTAATTATAAGCCTGTGTTTTCTATCAAAATTACTTCTTGCGTGAGTTTTGGGATACCCTTTATATATGGGGTATTCTCTGTCAAACCTGACACTCCCTTTAACCAAAAATTGAAGCAACAAAAAAACTGTATACTCGGGCTCATTTTGAACCTATGGATGTGTACTTTCATTTAAACCGTGGCCTTTTCAGAAAAGCAATATAACGGCTTCCAATATGGCGGCTTGAAGTCGGAAAAATTAATAGGAAATTTATTATTACCTGATATCTTTCATATCAGGTAAAATTCATGAAATAAAATGGTTTCTGAGAGTTTTCGAGGATGCGCTCTTTCCAAATCAATGATTGGATTTTTCATTTAACCTCTTATAAGGGTTCGTTGGTGAGAAAAAAATATCCCAGAGCTATCTGAGTATATTCTTCCACAAACTGACCATGCATCAGCATTTCGTCCCCTAGAAGGGTTAGAAATAAGGATTGAGGAGGTGAATTTTCAAGGATTTCGTACACGTAATGCCATTCGTTGGTAGAGAGAAAATATTTCAAAGCTATTAAAATGTATTCTTCGAGAAGCCGATGTTCCTTCAGCAAGTTGCTTTCTAAGAGGGTTGAAAATAAGAGTTGGCGCGGATTTGTACAGATTTTTGTGCTCTTAATGCGATTCGTTGGAATGAACAGAATATTTCTGAGCTTCATGAAAAGATTTCGAAAGGAGCCGATGTTTCTTCAGCATTTTATCCTCTGAGAAGGAGGAAATTAGGGGTTGGGGGTGTGACTACTGGTTGGTTTTGTGCAATCGATATACGAAATCCTTGAAAATTCACCTCAATCTTTATTTCTAAACCTTCTAGGGGACGAAATACTGATGCATGATCGGTTTGTGGAAGAATATACTCAGACAGCTTTGGGATATGTTTTTCTCACCAACGAATGGCATTGAGCGCACGAATACTTGGAAAATTAACACTCAACCCTTATTTTTAATCCTTACAAGAGGTCAAATGAAAAATCCAATAATTGATTTGGAAAGAGCATCCTCGAAAACTCTCAGAAACCATTTTATTTCATGAATTTTACCTGATATGAAAGATATAATCAGATCAGATAATAATAAATTTCCTATTAATTTTTCCAACTTCAAGCCGCCATATTGGAAGCCGTTTTATTGCTTTTCTGAAAAAGCCACGGTTTAAATGAAAGCACACATCCATAGCTTCCAAATGAACCCGGGTACATCGTTTTTTTATTGCTTCAATTTTTGGACAAAGGGAGTGTCAGATTTGACAGAGAATGTCCCATATATATATAAATTTTCCGCGAAAAAAGTTGCAAATTTTAAAGGAAAAATGCCGGTTCTCTAAAGGCTAATCGAAAACAGGAGCCCTTCGTCGGAGGGCGAAACGTTCCCTCGCGCCGAACCGAAGGAGGATTACTCGCTCGTGCGACGCGATTCATCGGATAAAGTCTCTCTCACAGGATGCAGATGAGACTCCCAATGAGAGTCCCGGCGAGACCGGCCGGTTCAATCGCTAAGCCGACGGCCAAATGCGCGCGAAATACAAATACCGAGACAACATCGTTGAGCGCGGCCGGGAAGTCATCAGGCCGCACCTCGTGGTGCCCGCACCGACTCCTCCCCCCGCCTCAATTGGCGGCGTTAATTAACCGGGTCGGCCGCGTCACGGCGGATCGCGGCCGATTTGTCGAATTTCTAATTAACGGCTCCGCCGAAACATTTAACGTCGTCGTCTAACGAGCGCGGAATTGAGCGCGACGGCCGTTTTCCCCGGTTAGCCGCAAATGTCACTTGGCCTGGCCGGCGCGACGTTACGCAACACGATCCAATTTATCCGCTTCGGCAAGTAAGGACACACACGCTCGTCGCTCGGCCGATCCGCGCGACGTGGTGCGCGTCGATCATTATTAATTACCGGCGGCATGGAATTGTCCGGGAAGTCGCATTGACGCGCGTAACGAGCGCGCACGACGACTAGCGTAATGTACGACGACGGATCGGCCGGCCGGGCGCGATGCGCCGGATAAAATATGAATTCCTGCCTCCCTCTCTCCCTCTCTCTCTCTCTCTCTCTCTCTTTCTCTGTGGCCGCGCGGCAGAGGGGATTTTCCGCGGGGCTACCACACTCCGCGGACATTCGGTTGCGGCAGCTCTCTCGACGTAAATATCTGGCATGAAAGTCAATGAGGCTCTCCTCGCGCTCGTTTAAGGATTTTCATTTTCGCGACGGAGCGTCGCTTATAACTCTTTCGCGCCGGTCTCTGCCTCCGATGGAAATTTATACAGCACTATGCTGCGTGTGTGCGCGCGCCTGTGTGTGTGTGTGTGTGTGTCGCGAAATTAACGTAGCACAACGCTACTTTCGAAATTACGGCTGACAATCATATATGCGTGCGTGAGCGCAAAAGTTCTGATGGCTCTCTAATAGACGTGTCGTCGTAACTGATGCAGTTTTACGGCAACGTTCCAGACGAATTTTCGCTGGTGTGTTTTATACCGTTTCGAAGAGGTCGCATTCTCAGCTGTCGCTTGAAACGGAAACTGCTCAATCTAGCAGTCTCGCGGTAAAATCGAAAATGAATATTGATAAAGAATCCATTTGCGTGTACTTACGGTGTATGAGTTTCGGGGGGAGGGGAAGCAGGGACTTTGCGGACACGAAGAACATGAGGAACATTTGCGACGTGTTTCGAGAAGGAGAGAGAGAGAGAGAGAGAGAGAGAGAGAGAGCTTGATTTTGAGAGCTCGAACACCAGCCACGCGCTCAGGTCGGCCTTCTGACGACGCGCGATCTGGTGCATGCTAATCCACGAAATTCAACACAGCAGGTTGCCGAGAGACCAAATGCTGTCTGATCGATCGCGTTTCGGTGTTTGAAGAAACTCGGGCGCAGCTGGACGAATGTCCGGCTGCCGCGTAAACTCTGTGTGTCGTCGGTAACTCTGGTCATAATAATGCATAATAATAACGCATATATATAATTGCATCCGTGAGACCCGTGAGGGCCTCGGAAGCTTCGAGACGAAGACCGGAGCCGAAAAAGGAGTTTCCGTTCGCGTTCTCGCCAATTTCCGTTCGTGCCTCGCGACCGGCTGTGGTCATTGGATTTTATTTAGCGGGCCGACGCGCAGTGGCGCGACACAGCCTTCGATTAATTGCGCCTCCTTTGTATGCTAATTGGCCGTTGTCGCGCATATCGGCGTGTAAAGCGGAACACACCAGTAGCTATAAATTGGCACCGAGATCCTGCGCGCGCGCGCGACGCCGCGGGAATTTCCGGGGTCGCGGAAGCTTCTTCCGGTGCTCGGTGCTAATGACGTGCGCGCCGTAGTTTACAGAGGAAAAGTACGACCGGGCGACAATCGTCGGGTCAAAGAGCGACTCCACGATCGCGCCGGCGCCGGGGAGAATTTTTTTGTGTGTACGCATGTGTGCACAACGCATAATGATATAACGTACAATTTTGCTTTGGCATTCGGCGCGATCGAGACATCACGCTGTCTCGAGTGAGAACGAGAAAACGAAGGATACTTCCCTCCGAATTTCCTCCCCTCGACCACGACCGTCCATCTCAATTTCGTTTCTTCCCCCCTCCCCCTTTCCCCGCCGGTGCGTTTCTCTGCTTGTCTCACTGCCGCGGCGACTATCAGTCTTCGTTTAGGCTGTAAGCTTCGTTGCCGCGTAAAGGGAATTCTCTTCGTGTTCTTCTACTTCGGCTTTTGTAACGCGCTTTTTCCAGCTTGATAATGATCTCGAGATAAAAGTGGCAACTGTGAATTGAAGATCCTCCATTTGGC